GCCCGGTACGGCTCGCACGGCACCCCTGTAGGGCACATACGCCGCCCCTGTAGGGCACATACGCCGGCCCGGTACGGCTCGCACGGCACCCCTGTAGGGCACATACGCCGCCCCTGTAGGGCACATACGCCGGCCCGGTACGGCTCGCACGGCACCCCTGTAGGGCACATACGCCGCCCCTGTAGGGCACATACGCCGGCCTGGTACGGCTCACACGCCGCCCCTGTATGCATTTGCTGTTTGCTAAGCGAAATGCTCAGTGATGCTCAGCTCACTTCAACGCTATTATTTAACAGCCTTTTATTCCAGGCATCTATTACTGTGCCTGAAGCAATGATTTTGAACCTTAAACTAACCCCTTTCATGCTGCCATCCTCTGGAGGATTTGTTTGTCAGACAGCTCAGGTTGATCAGGGGTAAGAAAAACTTAAGACTGCAACCCTGATCTTTTTACCAGAAAAAGATCACTAATCCATCGTTAAATACTCTCCCCTATCATTTGTGCTAAACTTAATTCCCATTTAAAACTGGGCCAGTCAAAATCCTCACTGCAAGTTTTATTCATACATCCAAGATCAATTGGCCACACTATATATACATTACATACAGTTTATACACATATTACATAATTTGTACACAAATATACATAAAAATGTAAACCTTTGATACAAAAAATACTTTAAACCAAGAGACGAAGACAAAAGGTGACTCTCATCCTCACCCCCATCTTTAAAAACAGTAATACAGTACATTCAGTGAGTACAGGAATTGCCGCCTGCTTAAAAGCCCTCTTACGCTTGATCAGAGGGTGGGGGTGCTTTTAACCTGTGCTTCCACAGTCGTCTGAATAGGACAGTGCTTCATAGCTCGCAGTAAATGGATCATACCCCTATCCCTCCCCTTACTATTCAAACTACTCAGGCAGAATAATTGCTTTTTTGTCTGGCTGCATCTTAAAGTTCAAACAGGCCTGAGGTGAAGGCGGGTGTGAGCGCAGGGCCTGAGCGGGGGGCGCCCCCATCACCAAACCACCGGGGGCTGAGGTTCGGTCGCAGTTACCTGATAAGTTTTTCTGTTCCCGGGCGGCAGTACTGGTGCTTGGGGGAGGGGCTGTGTCCACCGAAGGTCCACTTCACATTTGGAACAGTGCCAACCACAGCTGTCCGCAAGGGACCAAATGGCAAACAAGTGATTCTCAGACGCCATGTTTGTCCAAGGATATGTAAAGCAGACGATCTGCGATGTCCGTTCGTCTTGCGGGCCATGACACGGTCACTGGGATGGAAACCCGTTAAAACTGTACCACCACCGGGAGAGAGTTACCTCCATCGTCACGTCAATATCACTTTTTTGAGTTCACCATAAAACCCAATGTACAGAAGTATAAATATTAAATACTTTTAACGAGACACGATTAGGCTGTTCCAAGAAAACAGGTTTTAGTGTTTCTGTAAAACTCTTCCTAAAAGCGGTTTCGTAGCACTGGTCTTCAGCTCCTTTCCAGTTCAGGTGACTACAGAGAAACCCAAAAACAAACAATGCCATCCTGTCTGCCATAAGAGACACACCGGCCAGCTACCTTGTAACTGCAGGACTTGGCTATAGTGAGATGGCGCGCCCCGTCCACCCCCGCGTTTTGGTTGCGTCCGTTTCATTACCTCTGACAGTCAAGTCTCATGGGATCAGGCTTTTGTAAAGACAAATCAAGTACAAAAAAGTGTGGGGGGGGGGGGGACATGAAATTGCTTATGTGTTCCTGAAACAAAGGGAGTCTCCTGCTGTGAGATGACCTTGTCATTAGCAAAAGGTCCGATTTAAAGGCAACGTTAGCAAGTGTAGAGCACCGACGATTGTGGCGACTGACCCGGGGATCTGTGTCCGCAGGCGGGGGCCACCCTGCTAAACTCATCAGGGGTATGAAACGGCGGCCACCGTGACCCTGGAGAACCTGAGTTTGAACCAGGACCCTGATGGGCCCTTGCATTAAAAAAATTAATAAAAAATATAAAAAAAATCACCCCCGTCACTGAAACTGCTGCAAACGGTGACATGGTGCATATGTACAGACTTCACGTTAACGTACTGTCATGGAGGGAGGTATAATGATCCTGTTATGGGTTATTGCTTAAAATAACCAGCATTTTGTGTTTAATATGCAGCTCCAGTGGATCCACAGCAACACAGAGATCATTGAATCTCAAATTTGAGTCCCCTGATTAAAAAAATAATAATAAAAAGCAATTTGGCAGGGTGTCCCTGTATAAAGCAGACACTCAACTGGGGAACATTTCAGGTTGGGGACCCTGAAGGTGTCACATACACACACATTCAGGCTTAAAAACGTCCGGTTCAGTGATGACAGGAAGCGGCTTATGATACACATACATACAGTTGGTGAACGGAGAGGCAGAGAGGACGGGCCTGAAGAGGAAATGCAGATAGAGCGTGGCCCCGCTCAGTATGCAGCGCCCCCTGTCACACACCAGTGCGGGGCCCCGCTCAGTATGCAGCGCGCCCCCTGTCACACACCAGTGCGGGGCCCCGCTCAGTATGCAGTGCGCCCCCTGTCACACACCAGTGCACACTACGCTTCCTGTAACCTGCAAACCCTGACAATCACTGGCAAAACCCTGCTGCTAGCGGCCGATCAGATTAACGTTACGGCATTTTCTGATTGGGCATAGAGGAGCCGGTCCGCCGGGACTCACTGAACAGTGACGACGTACATCTACATCCCTGACGCCCCACGCGAATGTCTCGGCGATGTGCGCCTCCAGTTCACTGAGGAGAGAATGGATGGGCAGAGCCGCCAGCGCCGGCTGCTGTGCTGGCAGTGGAGAAGCCAGTGGGGGGAGCAGTGGAGCTGTGGCTGGGCTGTATGTCCTTTGGGATTCCGCAGTGCGAGGCCAGCTGGTGTCCAAAGGCAGCACTGAACTGAGGCAGCTGCAGCTTGGGCTGGCTGGAGGTTGGGAGACCATGTGCCGAGACGGAGAAGGAGGAAGATGGCGAGGAGTTGCAGGCTGGTGGCATAGGGAGGCTGGTCAGACCACCAGGGGGCAGCACGGGGAGGCTAACCAGGTGCGCGGTGGAAGGCGGTGTGGACAGGGAGGTGGATATCAGGTGGCCGTCAGAAACGACAAGGTTACTGAACTGGGGGTCCGTGAGGGACAGGGGAAGGCTGCTCCAGGAGGACCTTGCCGGGCACGAGACGCCACTCAGGGGAACCTCCAGCAGCAAGGGAGACTCGGCCGAGAAAGGCCTGGGGCGGGGTGAGGCCATGTGCTCACTGTAGGGGGAGGGCACAGGCTCACTGCTGTAGTGGCTGCCGTGTGGCGAGGATTGTACCGGCTCTGGGTCAGCCAGTAGGTGGGGCTGGAATGGCTGGCCGGCCAGGGGGCTCTGCGCCGGGCCATGGGGGGGCGCTACCGGGGACCGTAGCAGGCTGTCCTCCAGGTCCAGGCCGGGGAAGCTCTCAGTAGCGATGCGGCCGTTCAGCAGGTCCCCCATGGTCCCAGCCTGCCCCCCCGAGCCAGAAAACACAGACATGGGCCGGGAGTCCACTGTGTCCGTCTGAGCCAGCTCCCCTATGGAGCCCAAACACGCCAGGGAGTCAGGGTAGGAGCCCATGGCTTGGAGAGCACGCACCAGCTCCTCCGCCTCCTCTGTAGTGGGCAGAAGGTCCCCGTTCTTTCCTACATACACACACACACACACACACACACACACACACACACACACAGACACCATTAGAACACAAACAGACCTTGTTCTTTCCAGCACCAATTAGATCAACACATCGCACAAATATCTGAGTGATGACGGCATCCATATTTAGGCTTTGCTCTCTGAAATATTCATTTAGTAGATAAAATTGTCATTTAACAAGGAGAACATGCTACAGGAAATGCCAGAACTTGAGATCCCAGCTGAATGTTTACAGTCTCGCAGACAATTACGGCATGGACACCTTCGAAGATATCGAAGTCCTGCAGGTCGTCGGGAAGTCTGGGTAACACGTCTGAGAAGTCCTCCTGGTTGAGCTCCAGGTCGTGGGGAATGTCTGTGATGTCATTGGTGATGTCATTGGTGATGTCGTCGTGAAGCTGGCCAATGCTCAGGTCGGGACTCCTGCCAGCAGGAAAAGATGCGACTGAGTGACTCCTATGGCACTAAAGGCTGGGTCACACTTCTCCACACAAGCATAACACTTGCGTATCGAGCCAAGCCATGTACTTTGCACATGTGCACAACATGTCATATTTATATTATTAATGATATAAATTATTATTCTGATATCACCTGCACATGTACCACAGCAGTTTGTTTTACAAATTCAGAGAGCCAGCGCACAGGGTTGCCAGGTGAGAGATTTTCAACGGGCGGAGAAGTATGAAGCAGCCATAGCAGACACAGACAGAGGAGCCTGATGCACGCAGTTTAAAGGAAGGTAGAAGACAAGCAGAAGACAAGTGGCCAAAAGCATCAGGACCATGCAGGACCTTAGACAGCCGCCCGCTCAGGGTAATGCAAACCCTAGCAGCGCGAGCAGGTTCCCCTCGCCGCCTCTCATGTCACCCGGCAGGACTGACCGGAGGCTAGCGGCTTGAGTGGGCAGCGACAGGCTGGTAGGCATCGCCAGGTCGCCCTGGGGCAGCGCGGGCGGGATGGGCTTCTGGGGCCGCCGAGGGGCCCGTCTGTGCTTCTTCTTGTGTTTCTTGCCGAGCGTGGGCTGCTTGATCTTGCGAGGCTTATGCTGCTGCTGCTGCTGCTGGTGCATCATCCTGCGGTTACTGTCACCACGCAGGAAATCATCCTGCCCAAAGGGGACACACAGCATCAGGGAGGAGCCCGTCAGAGCCCCCTGGGGGAGAGGAGCGGCGGTGGGACGGCTCTCACCATCTTCTTGGCGTGTTCCTGGCACAGGGGCGTCTGGTGCGTGATGTCAAAGACGGGAACGGAGCATTGCTGGCCGTCGGCGAAGCGCGCCGTACAGCTGGAGAACAGCTGCTGAGAACGATTCTGGAGGATATCTGGGTGAAGGTCAAGGAGGGGAGCACACACAGACGGGCAGGAGTGCCATGCATCAAACTCAGCCAACACGCTCCGCCTAGTAACAGTCTGCTGTCTGCACTAATTATACCTTGACACCCCAGGCACGACAAAATGCTTCAAAAAGGTCTAACATGCCAAGTCTTACACTCTGCAGGCGGATTTATAGCATTCCACAATTCCCAAAGGAAAATATCACAGAGTTAAACTCTCAAAAACAACTCAAAAGGGAAATAAACACGCGTGACTCATTGTGCAGGCGTCCCGGCAGACGGTGCTGCGGCCCAGCGGAGGGATACGCTGGAAGCAGTGGCGAGTGAAGGGCAGAGCGCGACTGTGGCAGGCCTGTCCCCCGGAGCCGCCCGCACAGGATCCTGGGGCCGTGTCCTCCCTCTGCGGCGACTGCGTGCTGGGGGCGAGCAAACCCAACAATTCAGAACGGAGCCAAATTAGACCTTTCCCCTCCTCAGCTACACCAATGATATATACTTCTTCATATTTTACTGCATAAAAGTAAACAGGGAGCTAAACAATTTAAAGATTATAATGTTACAGTGTTTTCATTTTAAATATGAGGCTAAAATAATACAGACTCTTAAGCAGTAATAAATATTTAAGCCCGGTGAGTTCCACAGGCAGTGTATTGTAACAAACTGAATGCTTATACCATGGAGGGCATGCAACTGTACTACCGCCCCCCCCCCCCCCGAAAAGTGGCTAGTGAAGTGCAGAGAGGCCACTCTGCCTGGCATACCTGGAAGGCCTCCGCAGCTCCTGCAGCAGCTGCCCAGTGCAGTGGGGGTCCCGGCAGGCGGCGCGCAGCAGCGCCACCCGGAGGGCACGCTGGTCACTGCGGTGGCGTGTGGCTGCCCGATCCTGCCTGTATTTTAGCTGCAGGTGGCCGCAGAGCCGGGCCAGGCGGGAGCTGCGGGAGTCGGGGGCCGCCTGCGCATCAGACCTGGGGGGGGTCAGCAGCAAGGGAGGCTCAGCATCGCACAGGACACGCACGCATCCGTCCATCATCATCCCTCATCCCAGAAAGCAGAGAGCATAAGAGGGTAGGGGGGGACACCCAGAAGAGGACAGTCACCTGTGCATTGGGGGGAGAAAGTGAATCACTCGGAAAAACCAACACAGACATTGGAAGAAGGTGAAACACACACAGGAAGACACAGAAACAGACACACAGGCAACAACAGACAGACACACACAGACACAGGGACAGACAAAGAGACACACGGACACGCAGACACACAGAGACACACAAAGACACAGGGACAGGCACACAGGGACAGACAAAGAGACACACGGACACGCAGAGACACACAAAGACACAGAAACAGACACACAGGCAACAACAGACAGACACACACAGACACAGGGACAGACAAAGAGACACATGGGCACGCAGAGACACACAAAGACACAGGGACAGACACACAGACACAGGGACAGACAAAGCGACACATGGGCACTCAGAGACACACAAAGACACAGGGACAGGCACACAGAGACAGACACATAGACACACAAACTAACAGACAGACAGACTAGTGCTGGGGGGTATAACCAACAATGTGTATAATGGTATTATTTATTTATTTATTTATTTGAATCTTGTGGTTTCATGGTATCCATCCATCCATCCATTAACTACTGCTTGTCTGGGGTTCGGGTTGCGGGGGTAGCAGCTTCAGGAGAGATACCCAGACCTCCCTCTCCCCTGCTACCTCTACCAGCTCCTCGGGGAGGACGCCGAGGCGTTCCCAGGCCAGCCGAGAGATATAATCCCTCCAGCGAGTCCTGGGTCTGCCCCGGGGCCTCCTCCCTCTAGGACATGCACGGAAAACCTCTCCAGGTAGCCGCCCAGGAGGCATCCGCACCAGATGTCCAAACCACCTCAACTGGCTCCTTTCGACATGGAGAAGCAGCGGTTCTACTCTGAGGCCCTCCCGGATATCCGAACTTCCCACCCTATCCCTAAGGGAGAGCCCAGACACCCTGCGGAGAATCCTCATTTCGGCCGCCTGTATTCGCAATCTCATTCTTTCGGTCATTACCCATAGCTCATGACCATAGGTGAGGGTAGGGATGAAGATGGACCAATAGATCAAGAGCTTTGCTTTCTGGCTCAGTTCTTTCTTAGCCACGATGAACCAGTTAAGCGCCTGCAAAACTCGCCTACCCTCACTCGTGAACTAGACCCCGAGATACTTGAACTCCTCCACTTGAGGCAGTACCTCTTCCCTGACCCGAAGAGGGCAATCCACCCGTTTCCGGCCAATGGTCTCGAACTTGGAGGTTTCATGGTATATCGCTGTATTTTTTTTTCAGTTTACTCAGATCGCATCAATAAAATTAATTTTCCAAATGTTTTTAAAAAGCCAATCTTTGCACACAAAGCCTAAGGCTGCAGATGCTGCCACTCACCTGTCCGGCAAGCATCTCTCATGCAGCCTCAGGGTGCAGCCGGAAGGCAGTGGCCGCTCGCTCTCATCCTCCTCACTGTCCTCAGACCAGTCCAACCCTGCGAACACACAGGCGTATGGGTGTCCAATAGCAGCCAATAGGACGCTTCCCAACCCAGCCATTGGCCAATAACCTACTGGATCATTTTAAGTAATCTCAAACCTGATAGGTTCTCTGAAACACTCCTAAGCTATTACACAAAAGCATGTAAAATACAAATGAAATGTAAGGGATGGGGAAAGTGACAAGGGGAATCTTAAGCTGCACCTAGATGTGGGAAGAGGTCCCCATGCAGCTGTCGCCGCTGACAGCACAGGTGGGCTAGGCGTCTCAGACGCTCAAGGCAGGCGGCCGATGGAAGGAAGGTGGAGGGGCGCAGCACCACAATGTGAGGTCCGGGGGCGCCGCTCCCAGGCATGGGTGTGGCCTTCTGAGTGACGACATGGCCAGGAGCCTCTTCTGGGCTGTGGTAGCTCCCCAGGTTTGGCTGGGGCTGGCTGTCAGGCAGCGCTGGTTTGCATAACTGTCCCTGTTGCAGTCCAGGGAGGCCGGAAGGAGACAGGTGGCTGGAGCTTTGAGGCTGCTGGGGAGGAAGCTGAGAGTTTCGGGGTGATGGCGGACCCTGAGAGGGGAGAGGGGAGGGGCTAAAGTGCTCGAGTGGCGATAATAAGTCACTCAGCTTCTGCGGCTGGTTGAGCGCCGGTCGCCTCTGTAGCTCCTTCGCTAAAACTGAACTTTTCTGCGGACTCCCCTCTTCGCCGTCCGTCTCGTCCTCACAGAAAGCGAAGGGGTCCAGCAAGCTGGCCTCCAGCGGAAGCCCGCTGGGTAGGCAGGGGGCCAGTGTGTCCAGCCCATTGTGGGCCTTCAAGGCCAGAGAGGGAACCACGATGTTAAGGGCCACTGACTCCAGACGAGGCTTCAGGCGCACTTCATCCACGACTTCCTGCTTTTTCTTTCGCTCCTTTTTGGGGATGAAGCCCAGGACCTGCAGGTGGCTGTTGCAGTACCTGAGGCATTTTGAAGGGACACAGGCAAATAAAGAACAGAATAGGACAGAAGAAAATGCTTCTATTGTAATTTTAAAGGCAGCAGGCACAATGAAATTCAATCTTTGCATATTCTGCATATATATGGGGCCAGCCATTTTCCTACAACCCTAGAGCAGTTTCTGGGCTTAAGGGCCTTGCTTAAAGACCCAACAGTGAAACAGCAACCTTCTAGGTACAGATAGAGGCACAAGCAACCGACCTGCGGTCCTCGGATTTGGGGATGGGGTTGGTGCACCTCTGGCTGTTGTACTTGGCCACATACTCGCACTGCTTGAAGGGGGCGGTCTTGTCCTCCAGGACATGGCGGATACAGAAGGCGTAGCCGTTTAGCCTGCGCTGCTTGCACAGTTTGGGGCTGTATGAGCACAGTGGCTTATTGTCCACCTCCGAGAAATGTATGTGTTTGCCTTCAAACATCACGTGACTCTGGTCCCTGAGAACATCAGCTGACAGGAGATAAAAAAGGGAGTTGAGTGTAATATCACAGGCAACATGCCACAAAGCCCAAAGTACCCTACATGGAACAGTGTACAGAGTCAGGTCCAGAAGTCAAATGAAAGATGTGCAAGATCTTTTACACAGACTTATGGTTTTGACAAAGTCATTCAGCCTGGGTTCCGAGTTCCATAATTATGCTTTTTCTGTAACGAGCCTGGTGCCTCTGCCTCAGAATCCTCATTAACTAAATGACAGTTAATGAACTTATCACTGAAATTACACACATAAGGAAGGGACCTCTCAATTAAAATTTAATTTGAAGTCACATGCTTTTAAGAATTTTATTACATTTCTTCACTGCTAAGGCACTAAGAATACACAAAACACTGTCAACAATCAGATAAATTAGACAACACACACCCTTATTAAGAGAAACGTGTCACAGTGCAATGAAGGAGGTTCGGTGTCCTATGACAGTACAACGTTACAGCCCCTATTATAACCTAAAACTGAGAATCAGTGGATCCAAAAGGTTACAGGGAGGGTGGGCTGGGAACTTTTACTACGTACCTATTACACTATATGCACGATCATGTGCTTGTGCTGCACAATCTCACAAACATTCAACATACTGGCTGGCGACCAGTTCTTGCGACCAACATTCGCATAATTCCCTAGCTTCCGATTTTTAACGCATGACATTTCATAGCGTTACTTAAGTTCAAAATAAAACAATATCCAGGTGCCACTGATAGTAATGATAACAAGAGTTTTACGGCCATTAATAATGTCCGGCTTTAAATGTGCATCGGGATACAAGACTGTCAGGGTCACCGGACAAGCAGCGCCGCAGTGTAATTCCTGAGTATAGATGCTTCTCTGCTACTCGCTTATTTTTAAGGATAATTCGCTATTTGATCATCGACACACGACGCAAATTTTCAAAAAGGGAGCAGATTAATAATGATTTAACATTTTTAATGGATACAAGGAAATAGTGATGTGCGTGAAGTAAACGAAACACTGCGTCAGGTTTACAGCAAATGGTGAATTAGCGATGTTACGTCAACGCTATAAGTTAAAACAAATCATAGACTTCGTTAATAGTCGGCTACCTATAAATTTTATACCGAAATCTATAATATACTATTTCAGCACGGACACGAAAATAGTTGGGTGGTATATTTTTCAACTTGTCAGATTAATATCAAAATAATTTTAAACTGAGGGAGTGCTTGTCGTGTTGTTTAGTTTCCACGAAACGTTTAAAACTGAAAAAACAAAAGCGATAACAATATTAAACTACATTTTAGTGGAAAGCTAATACCCTAGCAACCGAGGAAGGGCTAAAAACAGAAAGCAGCCATCAGCCAGGAAACGGAAATACAATACGGCATAATACAAATTAAAAATGCACAAATATTGTTTACATTATCGTAAAACAAATTATGTAATGTCGTCATTTGAGACTCAGTAACCCAATTCGGAAAGAACACATTTTTTATTTTTAAATATCGATTTGAACCAACCGGAATGCCGAAGGGGCCATTCTTAAAACAGGCCTTCAAAACAACACCGTGTGGAAAACCTGTCTTGGCTAGCAGCCGATGTATTAATTACGCTCCCTGGTGTTAACGATACTTTTCTTACGGTCAAAACGATTCTCAAGAAAAAAATCTTGGAGATAACTCCGATTAAACTCGAAAAAATAAATCGAAGGGTTCACTGCGGCCTAACAGTTCCTGTGATCCCGGTCCTCGCGTAGCGGGCGTGAGAGCTGAGTGTCACACATTAGCTCCGCTTCCTCTTACACTCGAGCCCTAGGCTTACACGGGAGGTCCGCTTACCTTCACTTGGTATGTGCCGTACACGGTATTTACTCCCGGCAGTCTGGAAATGCTTATTATAAACGGCGCGCAACTTGCTGCACTGTATTTCACTACCCTCTACGCAAATAATCGTTTTTCTATCGACGGATAATTAAGTTTTGTTCCCTGATGCATATAAATGAGGTTTATCTGCAGGCAAATATAAAAATACACTAAAGAGCTGTTGGGGGTTTTAGTTCGGTCATCAGCAGACTTTCCCTTACAGCACCACTACCGGCACTGCGGGGACATGACAACAGCCAACAGCACAACAACAACCTCCGCTACCATATTGGAAAATTTCACTTAGTGTGTCAAGCAGCACTATTTCGTGTTTTAATAGTAATGTGATGCGCAGCAAAAAGTCTCGTGGATTTTTGTTAACCTGCATCATGCTGAAGGAGAGGACGGCGTTTAACGTCATATTTCTTCAGTCTTCGCGGGCAGCACCGCCTTTTATAAAGAAAATAACATTCAAGACAAATTGTCTACGGGGAAGCTTGTGCTCAGATGAGATTTATCCGATCAACTCTGCCTTTGTTTAGGATTAAAGACTGCAATCTGGAACACTCTTTTTGTCTTACAATGTCCAAATTGCCTCAAGGATATAAGTCCAAATAAACTCCACTGTCCTTCCTGCAGAGAAGGCGGCGATCTCCTTCTTCTCCATCCTCACTGCCCTACACCTCCCCGCTTCCTCCACAGTTCCCTCCTTTCCACCCCCACCCCCCTATCTGTCAGTGACTTTTTCTGGATAAGCCAGTGACCATGTCAAGTGAGCTAACGATGTATTCACTTCAATGCTGTCACAGGCTTATGATCATTTTCCATTAAATGAAGACACGTCTCCCGAGAATGAGAACTGTAAATCTGTTTATTAACGACAATACTTCGGGGTTTTAAGTTGACAGCAGCTGGCGTGCTTGTGAATAAAATTAAAGTATTCTGCAATATTTCTTATGTATTTTATTATTTTCTATTAAAAACTACCCGAGTCCCAAATAGGGTATGATGCATCACATACTGGCAAAATATTTTTCCGTAATCTGCTTGACCAAAGCTAAATATTTACATTTACGGAGCAACTGTTCTGCATTTAATTCATATTCAGTATGCAACTTAATGTACATTTGAGGTAGGCTACAGTGGGCATTGTTAGTGATCTCCATTATGTCCTGCGTCCTTTAGTGTTGTTTTTTTTTATTGCACATCCATCTTTATAGATATTAAGTTTTGTATTTTTCTGTATAATGTATTTGATATATATACTCTTATTCAGTCTGCTATTGCCAATTGTAATCAGCTGTACCAACAAATATTTCCACTGTCCTCAGTCGTATAGCAATAAAAGTTCTGTTCCATTCACATCAAATTAGGTTTGGGTAAGAAAGAATAATATCGATAATGCCTTTCAAGATATGTTTCTACCATTTCTATAATTTGTACCGCCTTTACTATTTGCCTTATTGTTTTAGTCGTTTATTTCTTTGATGATGGATTTTGTGGGTATTTATCTTTTATTATTATTATTATATTATTATTTTGTAAGCCCCCTGGAGAAAAAAACCCCTTTTCTGAGTATGTAGGAGGGGCTTAAGGAAACTGACAGCTCTTAAGCGCCACCCACTCTTGGTCACTGCTTCAGCGTGATTGCCTGTGCTTCAGGAGCTCTCGTGGGATGGTGGCAGCCGCTGACAGGGAGAAGGAGGGACAAAACGTGAGCCAGTGTAGCAAAAGCATTCCTGTATGTGAACGTCTCTCGCAGTCAGCTAAGGAGCAACTAGAAGTTCTACAGAGAACATCTGATTTACAATCACAATGACAAAAAAAAATATGAAAAATAATTTAAATATAAATGCACCACCTTTGCTCAATCTACAACTACCCTAGGCGAATTTACTTTAAAACTCAAGAGGCCAACATGATGTGGGGAAAAAAACACCTTTAGATTCAATTTGCAGAGTAAGTCTATGCGTACACCTTCAACAGTACATTAGCACCGTCACTGTAGGTCAAACAAGTTGCAAATTCAAAGACTTACCAATAACACAAATAATATCAGATTTACTCAACTGCGTTGCCGCCAACACATCGCGATATTGTTAAGTGGTCAACATCAATGCATTAGGCTGCTTAGTACATTTCCGTCTTAAAGCCGAAAACGTCCGAGTGGCTGACGAAGCAGTCTCCCCTAATAGATCCCAGGATAAATAAGTGTAATGTAGTGCTGGTGAGTTAAACATTCCATAAAAGTCTACAATTACCCCCATAATAGATAGTTCTTACTATAACTTACCATAACTTACCCGGCGACACATTCGATGCAGTTACTGTGCAAGTATGATGTCGTGAAACTTTTATTTTCTAGGGATGATCTATGATTAAAAAAATACTGCCTTTGTGCAGATCCTGCACAAGCTGGAATTCCTAGTTCTCACCATTTAAATTAACTCCACCACCTCTTGCGTTCATTATACGTAGGAAAAGAAAGAGTGGCTCGTATTGCTCCGAAAGGAGGAGGAGTCCGCTGCCATTACAAATCCCCGGACCGCGCGGCTCTTCGCTCTTTTCCTCAGCCTGTTCACACGAGGTCTCTGCACATCTTTCACAATGGGCTTTGGCGATCTAAAAACCCCCGCTGGTCTTAAAGTCTTGAATGACTTTTTAGCAGATAAAAGCTACATCGAGGGGTGAGTATTTGCGAATGTAAATTGGTCGCATCGTTTATTGTAGTCAGCGTGTTAATCCGCAGTTTTATTTGTCAGACGCTAACATGTTAGCCCACGGCTACCTGCTGTAAATGAGCAAATCTATTCACGTTGTGCTACGTTCGACAAGATCTATTTTTGTATTCTGAAGACTAGATGAAACTAATAAAGTTTTGTAGAACTCGTAGTTGCATATGCACATTTAAATGTTTACTTAAATTAAGAAATTTGGATGAAGGCCTGTAACTTGCCGTTGTCTGCTTACTTGCTGTTGATTTTGAGCGCATGCGCGACCGAAAAATCACAAGCTATAAGGTGGAATATTGGGGGAAACTGGGACAACTTTTGAAATGTTACATTCACACTTTATGATTCTAATTGATCATTAAACGTATTAGTTATTGAAAGCTCAAGAACAGAGCTTAAGTTAATAAGACCCCAGAGGTGTACAAGTAGAGCAATATTCATCCTATTTAAGTGAAAGTACATCTTTTAAAATCTTTGTTTGACTTTTGCAGGTTTGTTCCCTCTCAAGCTGACGTTGTGGTATTCGAAGCCCTCTCTGCTGCTCCCCCTGCAGATTTATGCCATGCACTCCGCTGGTACAACCATATCAAGTCCTATCAGTCAGAGAAATTAAGGTATTTGCCTGGAGAATGCTCATGTTTGCCATGCAGTAAAAATGGTTTTCCAGGATGAATGATGAATGATGATCTACCTCACCATTTTTCTTCTGAAGTATGATGCACAACTTGTAATCCTTGACTGTCCGCAGTAGCTTGCATGAAGGACCTTTTGGAAGTGTGCAAATTGAGGTTCTCTTTCTCTGTACAGCCTTCCAGGGGTGAAGAAGGCTCTCGGCCAGTACGGTCCTGCTGGGGTCGAGGACACCACCAGTGCAGATTCCAAGGACGACGATGATGACATTGACCTGTTTGGTTCTGATGATGATGAGGTGATGACAGTTTTCCATGTCGAAGCAGCCCTCGTGTCGTTTATATGTGCAGCGAGACTAACATGGTCGTCTTACAGGAAAGCGAAGAAGCCAAGAGGCTGAAAGAAGAAAGACTTGCAGCCTATAACGCAAAGAAGGCTAAAAGTAAGGAAGACTTTGTAGGATGTGACCGATAGCCACTCTCAGTATGTGGTCACTGAGCAGGGCTGCCTCTGTACACCTGTGTTTCTGCTTCTCCATTCAAAAATTCTGAAGCACTCTTTCCTTCCCGAACCCACAGAGCCAGCGCTGATAGCAAAGTCATCCATTTTGTTAGACGTGAAGCCGTGGGACGACGAGACGGACATGACAAAGCTGGAGGAATGTGTCCGCAGCATCCAGATGGACGGGCTGCTGTGGGGCAGCTGTAAGTCATCTGTGTGGATGTGGGGGGGTCTGCTGGGGGCCATGTCAGTCACAGAATCACAGGGCACAGTCCAACGATAATATGTAGGGGGAGCGGCTAGGGGAGTGGGGTGGGGGCTTTTATTGGCTTGTTTCCTAGCCAGCCCATCAAACCCTGACTGACATCTTCCCACCTTTGAGTAGGCCAGGCCCGCCCTGGCTGGAATGTGAATTTCATAGTCCCCTAAGAGGGTTTCAGTCTGTAAATATGTTCTGGCCCAAAGTCCTGAAACTGAGGGAGAAATGGAGATGGACTGGAAGTGTGAGATGGGGAATAACCACTGACCTTCTGCTTTTAGCCAAACTGGTGCCTGTGGGCTACGGCATCAAGAAGCTGCAGATCCAGTGTGTGGTGGAGGATGACAAGGTTGGTGTAGACCAACTGGAGGAGGAGATCACAGCCTTTGAGGATTATGTACAGTCCATGGATGTGGCTGCCTTCAACAAGATCTGAAAATGTACTAGGCATATTAATAAAGGCACTTAGATTGCAAGCACCCCCTTCAGTATGCTGGTGGTTTTTGTATCTAAAATTCACTTCTGTCTACCTTTTCTGCTAAATATTACGGTGGCATCTTTCCTTTTTGGTCTCTGGTCAGGACTGAATGGAATCAACCCGATTTCCCTATCCAAATATCGGTTTTCTTCTAGGATAACCACCCATTTTAGGGTAAATTTAAGCTTTAGTAGGGGAGGGATTTCAGGCGTGTGATTACTATCGATGGGAAATTGGTGGGTGGAGTCAAACGAAATGGAGCATGATGGCGAGCGTGACAGCAGGTGGGGGTGTTGGTGCTGGTATGATTTACAACAGGCATCTCAAACTTCATGGGGGGGGGGTCTACACAGCTAATTAACATCAGACTTCCATCAGCCAACTTCCCCTTCAGCGCCCATACCCTGCCTTCATACTCCCTCTATAGCTGCATATTCAAGGTACATTAACACGGTGAGCCTAGAGCCCAAGCACAAGGTGCAGTGCAGGTGGCAGCCTGGTCCGGAAGCAGCACGCTGTAGGGTGGATCATTACGTGCAGTAGGGCAATTTTAACACCCCTTAACTACAGACTTGTTGATTTTTAAGTGGAACCGGAGGACCTGGAGGGAATTGGTGAAAAGGGACAGAATATGAACAGCACCTCATTTTCCCTGGTGTGGCCAGCAGAAGGTTACATGTGTGGCCCATGTTTTTCAATGTTGTTCGATCTGCTTTTGATGTGACGTGTTTTGCTGAAATACCGTTATGCTGGGAATTCTGTAAAATGTTAATATGCCTGGCAAGCCCACCTCTGCAGAAGGGGTGGTAATGTGTTTGGGTCGACTGCTGTCAATTTCATTTCATAATTTTAGATGTAGATTTGATCCTGTTTTAAAATGTTCCTGATGGTACTTAGTTGGCCCTGGGAGGTAGCTTGTGTTTCTACTTGCAGAATTTGTGCAGGCCAATTGGACCGAATGATTAATACAGGGTGGGGCTGCTGTGCATGTGGAATATCTGCAGGAGGAAAACAGGTTTGAGACTCAGCTGCACACCTCACTGTTTAAACCCTGCAGCGATATTTAATTTGATTTGCATTAACTGTATGGACGCTCTCCATTATTTCCAGTGGGCCATTCCCAGTAAGAACAAGCCAGGCTGCATTTAATTTGGCTTTTTTTTGTTTGTCAGAAACCCTGGTCACTACTGATGCGGTGAACAAGACAGCAATTTCACAGGCACTAGAGCAGGGGTCTCCAACTCCGGTCCTGGAGAGCTACTATCCAGTAGGTTTTCTGTCCCACTTGGCTTCTGATGAGCCACACCTGTTCCTGGTATTTACCTGAGAACAGGTGTGGCTCATCAGAAGCCGGGTAGGATAGAAAACCTACTGGATGGTAGCTCTCCAGGACCGGAGTTGGAGACCCCTGCACTAGAGTGACTGGCTGCTCTACTGTCAATCACAGTGTAGCTTATGTATGCAATTAGATAAAAGAGCAGTAAACAGCATAAACACCTTTATTTTTGCATAAATATAATAAATGATACCAGATTAAAAGTAGATCAAATAAAAATTTGACAGCTAGCTAAAGCATTTTAATGTATAAATTATATAAGTAATGTTTTCAGAATCAGGTCCTAAAATAGAAAAGTATAGACTGCAAATGTGAAACATTAATTGATCATGTATATTAGTTAAATATAAATGTGTTTATGTGCTTAATTTTGTAGAAGTAATACAAGTCCATTTAATTGGCGCAATACAGCATTTACAGTCAACTCCAGAAATATTGGCACGCCTCAAAAAGTGAGCAAAGACATTAATATAGATACATACATACAATGATTCCAATTTCCCCCAAATGTTTGGAAAAAGCACTACCTATTCAATTTAATAAAAATGATTCCTGCAAAAGTGTTGTTTTACCTTTAGAACAGCTTATTCTGTCAAAAACACGTGGCAAAATTACAGGCACCCAATTCAAACCAAAGGAATGTGCATATTTGGGGAAAAAATGTGTCTTGATAGTGCTTCAGTGTTTAGTAACTCTTGTTGTCTATGACCATATCCTGTTTCCCTGGGGTATAAATATGAGGTAACACACAGGTAAAATCCTTTTGCCATCTATCAACATGGGTAAAAGAGCACTCAACTCAAATGAAGGGGAAAAAATCTGCAGCGCTGCATAGATTGGGGAATGTTTACAAACGTGTTCTTTAGTTGACACTGCCAGTAAGCACAGGCAGGGCTACAGTAAACTTTGAAAAGCATGGAACTGGTGAAAATTTGCCAGGAAGGGGATGTATACGCATACTGTCCCCCCCACCTCCTGCACTGGAGCTGCAGAGGAGCCCAAAGATAACAACCACAAAGTTGAATCTTGGGAGTTTCACCATATCAAAATCAAAAGTGAGACACCACCACAATACACCATCATCATGTTTGGCAAAATAAGGGGACTGTATACAAAGAACAGCACCTCATACCTGTGGTGAATTATGGTGGGGGCTCTTTGGGGCTTTAGGGCTGTTTTGCTGTCAGTGGTCCAGGGGCTCTTGTTAAGATGAGTTGCATAATGAATTCCATTCAATACAAGAACATTTTAGCAAAAAATCTGGTTGCCTCTGTGACAAGACTGCGCCGTGATTGGGTCTTCATACATCAAAATCAACAAAGAAATGGTTGCAGCAACACAAAGTCAAGGTTCTGCAATGGCCCTCTCAGTCTCCAGACCTGATCCCAACAGAAAGTCTGTGATCTCAGTTGAAGAGGGTAGTTCACAAGAGAAAACCAAAGATACTCAATGAGTTGGAAATGTTCTGCATGGAAAAGTGGTCCAAGATCACTTCACAAGTGTTCTGCAGCCTTGTTAAATGCTACAGTAAGAGGCAGAGTGTTGCCATTCTTGCCAGGGGAGGCTCCACCAAATACAGACATTTGGGGGGGGGCAATATTTTTGGAATCCGCATTCTTATGAAAATGTGTGTGACTAAAGGAAAAATGTATTTTGTCTCAACAGTCTGTTTGGAAATAAACGCATGAGGGTTGCCTATTTGTGTTAAAGCACAAAATGTCACTCATTACATGTGTGGTTCTTTTTATATATTAATTTTAGTTTGTTTTCATGAAAGGTGCCAATAACTCTGGAGTTGACTGTGCTGTGAAAAAAACATCATCATGTAACCGGATACAACAGCATTTAGCCAGACAGGAAGAAAACTTCAGGCAGTGTCTGTCCCGGCTGACCCCACACAAAGCGAAGCAGGAACATTTGTCAGTTATTTTGTGTCATTACAGAAAACCATGGTGCAGCTCAATGATGGCAAAACAAAATAACGTCAGTTGCTCTGAACCAGCGTCAGCTCAACCGGCTCTGCGTTGGCACTGCTGGCCAGTACAGACTGGGACTCCGTAGCAGACACAGAGTGGCTGAGCTCCCGGAGCGAGTGCTTAGTGAGACGGAGGCAGGATCGCTTCAGGAGTTTCCGCACCTTCTGGCCAAGCAGCACGTACAGCACGGGGTTGACACAGCTGTTGAAGAAGGCCAGGCTGGTGACGAGCGGAAAACCCACCTTCAGAACTTCACTCAGGTGTAAGGTGATGTGCATTGACAGCTCCATCAGGCAGAAGATGTGGAAGGGAGCCCAGCAGAAGAAGAAAGCTAAGATGATTGCCAACACCAGCTGGGAGAAGTTGGACCGGTGCATGGCGTGCGGGCGTCGAGCCTGGACTGCTAGAAGCACGCCGGTGACCGTGATGGCAGTGAAAGGCAGCAGGAAGCCGATTGTGGTGCGGACAACAACTATGATAATGTGTCTCGTGGCGGCCTTGTGCGGATCATGGTCGTGGAAGTTGTTGAAGCACATAGTTTTCCCGTGCAAATCAATGGTGTCTCGGAACACCAGGGCGGGCATGCTGAGGCAGGTGGCTACACACCATAACCCCCCACAGACAATCCATGCCCTGCACACGGTGCGGTGCCTCTGAGACCAGGTGTGGTGCACCAGAGAAATGTAGCGGTCGAGACTGAGCACCGTGACGAACAGCACACTGGCATACATGTTCACCACAGACACAAAGGAGCTGAGTTTGCACATGGTCACACCAAAGCCCCAATGGAAGTCCCTTAGCACATAGTCGATGGTGACGGGCAGAAAGAGCACAAAGATGAAGTCTGCCACAGCCAGGTTAAGCAGCCACACCGTGTTCACCGATGGCCTGCTTTTGCACGTCGTCACCCAGATCACAACTGCATTGCCAAAAAGGCCAAGAACAAAGGCAGTGCAGTAGACCACCACCGAGATGATGTGTGTTACCTCCCTTTGACTGTAGTCATGATCTGACAGCTCTTCAAACTCATAGTACATGTAGCTGTAATTGTCAAAAAAATCTGTCACGTTCTCCATCACTTTTCTTGTTTCTGGTTTTTAAAAGTATTTATTGTTGTTGTTATGGCGTATCCAGAGAACCTGAAAAACCTAGAAAATGAGGATTATTTATGCATATTTTAAACTTCCGCGGCACATTATCCTTACTTTATATTCTTAGTTTATTCTACTTTTAATCACAATTATGTGCTTACTATGAACAAGGCTACTGCTCTCGGGCAGCTGCACGCCTCGGACGTGTGAGTCGGCTTTTCCGCGATCCCGGCAAGTTTTCCATACGCCCTTGCAATGCACCGCTTACTCCGCGTTGTATCCTGATGTTTTGACTTGGGCCTGCTTCCTTTCTTGCCAGTAATTAACATAAATCCAAACAGCCAGGACACCGCTTTGAGAACACACGATTTTGTTGCGTGCATGACTTTCCATGCAAGAACTAGCTGGGCGGTGGAACAGGGCTGCCTGTATAATCAGGCTCACGTATTGTTTCCTCTTTTTCGTTACGCAATGTATTGGCGTTTCTATTTTAAAATTCAGATTCTCAGTGCAAGGGTTGGATACTGATTTTCCAATTAAACTTAACGTACCCGTCTCACCGATGCAATTTAACAGTCATTTCCGATTAGATAATCCATACACCAACTATATTAACGCGTAAAGAAATAACATATTACCCGTCAAGCTGCAATACAGTACAAACATATTACTACACGCTTAACTACACGCTTAGTCTCTTCCCAAAGTGCAAACCAAAGGTAAAATCATAAAATGAATTCAATAATACAAAACTGTGAAAATAAGTATCAAGCACAAAAAAAAACTTTCACATGAAGTCGGACACTTAAAAACGTAATCTATTGCGTTTAGAAATCAACCAAACTGATCGAGACAAGTTGAAAGTGTTATTTTATAAATTGCTCCAGTGTCAAAGCCTGCTAATCGAATAAAAGGACAAAAAACTCTCCAAAATAGCTGAGGCTACAGCACAACCAGCTCACAAAAACATCTAACTACCGCTGTACCGTCTTCCAAGTATACAGCATTTTCGCTGCATTTTCCAAGCCCGAGAGCCAAGTAACGTGACAAACGCACAAAGTAATCGATCGGCGATGTCCGTGTTTAGTATTGTACATTATGTAGGCTACCAGTTGATTGATAAGAAGCCTAATGCCCAGGCGTTCATTCCATATACTCACCGATCAGCCGGCTACCCTCCTCTGAAGTATTAAGTTGTTTTCAGTCCGTTATGATGACTAGTCCAGCGGTCGGTGAGCTCGTCCCTCCGGCCGGCGTCACCGAAAGGGGGGGGGCTCGAGCTGCTGGGTGATGGACAGGATACCGTGGATATCGCTCTTTGTAGAGATAGCTTCTCTTGAATGTCCCGTTGCTATCCACCAACATTAGGTTGTGAAAAAGGGAAAATAGTGACATTATGCTGAATTGGGGGGCAGGTGCGGTCGAAAGAAAGCGGCCTTAGAATGAGTTGATTTAGCGACATTATATCTCATGATCACTGCCTGGGATAAGCTGCAGGCCCCCTGATCAGGGTACGTGGTTAGAAGATGGACGGAGAAGGGAGCAAGGAATGGAAAGCTTTATTTAAAAAAAATAAAAAATGATTACAGCCAAGCTTTATTTGTACAGCCAGTTTGAATTCTCACCCTGACTTAGCATACCATGATATAGCAGAGGTCCCATTTGCACTTTTTAACATCTTACTTGCTTGTTTTATCTTTCACTGTCTTGTCTTATGCTGCACTGCTGTTTGTCCTGCACTCTCCTGTCTTGTATTTGCTGCTGTTTGTCCTATTTTCCTGATGCCTAACTTTGCAACAGTAGCATAAGAGTTTCACTGTGTTCCTTGGACCACATGTGACAATAAAACTTGAAACTTTGTTTGTACAAAAGAACATAAAGGTGGAATTTTTTTGTTTCTGACCACACTTAATAACAGTATTGAGGCCGTATCACATTACATATATTTTTCCTCAGAAAAACAAGACGGGCTTCTGTAACTCAGACAGTTGTTCTGCACTATTTGCCTGACAAAAAGGTTCTAGCCCTATGGAAGGGGTTATATTAGGACATTCAGACTTCTCTGTTGCCATGCATGGAGCAAGAGATGGGCACCCATGGCTGAGTGTTGCTTATGGTGGGGCTGTGCTATGGATGGTATGCGCCCAAAAATGTTTAAGAGGGGGCTAATTCACTTCACTTCCCCTACAGGGAATTTCAGGCCAGTGTAGTTATGATGTAATGATTGGCCATCTGCAAGAGAAATCACTGCTCTTGACTCATGAAAAAAGGAGGGAATAAAAAAGGAAGGAAGAAGAAATATCTTTCTTTTTTTCTCAAGATTGCACTGATGTTTGACAGAGAAAGCTTTAAACAGCTAGAACAGTTACTTTGAGGAGCATTTGGAGGTCATGGATACCCTGGCAGGTTCTAGGGGGCAAGCACTCGACTGGGGCCCGTGAATATGTAATATTAAATGTAAAACTGGGCAGGGTGTCGTGTCTGAGGGGATCAAGGACACGGAGGCAGGCATTATGGCCAAGCAAAAGGGGTTTAATTAAACTAAAAAAAACAACTGGAAATGAAGACAATTGCAAGGGATCAGAACAGGAGGAGGAGCAGAGGCAACATTGGAGAACAATGTCAATGACCAGACTAGCTAACTCAGCACTGGGAAGTACTTTTATACAGGACTGACGATGGAGCAAACAAGAGGCAGCTGGAGTGATTAACACGAGGGCAGGGACAAGAGGTATGACAACGGAGTGATGGGCGTGGCATGTTAGGACCACGCCAGGGAGGAGATAGGAGGGGGAGTGATGGGCGTGGCATGTTAGGGTCACGCCAGGGAGCAGATAGGAGGGGGAGTGATGGGCGTGGCATGTTAGGGCCACGCCAGGGAGGAGATAGGAGGGGGAGTGATGGGCGTGGCATGTTAGGACCACACCAGGGAGGAGATAGGAGGGGGAGTGATGGGCGTGGCATGTTAGGGTCACGCCAGGGAGGAGATAGGAGGGTGAATGATGGGCATGGCATGTTAGGGTCACGTCAGGGAGCAAATAGGAGGGGGAGTGATGAGCGTGGCATGTTAGGGCCACGCCAGGGAGAAGATAGGAGGGGGAGGAGGATGTGACAGGCAGGACATGACACAGGGAGGCCCAGGGTAACATTTTTTCAGGGAGACCAGAATTTCAAGGTACATCCCTGATTACAGTTGTTATTCTTCCGTCAGCAAGGAATGTTTTTCCTCAAAGTTTTGTAAATATAGTTTAATTGTAGATTTTTAAATGATCAGCATTGTCTCTACAGGCTAGCACAGGCCCCTTCTTCCCTTGCTGAGAAACACATGAAGGCATCAATTGCAAACATGCAACAGAGAGGGTGACATCATAGGATGTTCCCAGTGGTGCACCCACTGACTTCACCCTTTCTCGACAAAGTATAAGACACACTCACATTTTCATCCGAAGCCTTACACGTTACCCTTGGTTTGGCACATTGTCAGCTCATACTGTGTTTATTCTGCAGCCGCTGGTTTCCAAAATAACTTTTTCATTATCCTGGCAACAGCATTAACACATGTCTTAAGCACCAGCACTAGAAACAGTATTGTATAAATCTACAAGGGCTTTGAGAAACTACTTCCAGAGGTGCTCAGCTAAGACGCTGCTGATGGAGTTGATGCTGCTAAAACCTATTTTTCCTGCCAAAGCTTCATCCCGCTGTCAGCGTTTGCCAGTGCTGACCAGTGCTCAGCTGCAGCAGCCGCCCCTGGCAGCGTTTGCCAGTGCTGACCAGTGCTCAGCCGCAGCAGCCGCCCCTGGCAGCAGCCTGGTCTGGTGCTGAGAAATGATTCCCGTTCACCGCACAGCCCCACACACCCGGAAGTGAAAGCTTATCTGGGCAGTTGACTGATTTTGGGACACAGTCTCATCACTTATGGCATGGGTGTCGCCGCCATTAAATCTGAGGGGGACGTGTACCCCTCACATTTCATAAATATTCGTTTGGAACCCCCCTCCATATTTAACATAAAATATTAGTTCACCCAGCGCTGTTTCTATTACTTCATGAAAGAATCCATTCCACTTGATCGATATGAGAACACACATACGGCATCTTATTCATTAAAAAAATTCTGGGGGAGGGTCCCCGGACCCCCTGCCATTGTGTCCCCCCACATTCAAAATGCTTCTGATGCCCCTGACTTAGGGGACAATGTAAAATATCCTTGTTTCTTGTGCTGATTGATTGTGTCACAGTACAAACAAATAGTCTTCATGTTTAACTCCTACATTTACAGGGACAGACTGTCTGATATTTTTTTCTGTATATCAGTGGTGATGAGCAGTCAGTCTCATAACTACCATGCAAACCAATGCCACAAAAGCTTTTTTCTGTCACTGTGAAAGGGATTTTGAACTCCTATCTCCTGCATACAGTCCTGGTCGGGCAAAACACCGCAGTGACAGTCAGCAGGTTTTTCCACATAAATCTGCACAATTTTCACCCTGCAGGCTGGCTGCTTTTACCTAAACATACATGGGTGCAGAATACTGTTCAGCTTCCCCATGCCACACTGACGGGGCTCACAGGCTAATAATACAGCTCACAGGAATCCAGGAGTATTCGTCAGCATATAAAGTACGTTTTAAATTGATGTTGCAACAATATTCTACAACAGCCCAAGCATGGCATGATGGAGCCCTGAAAACGAGCGCTATTTCAGGTTAGCCTCAATATGTTTACATACAGCTGCGTGTACACACCTCCGAGTTTAAAGCGGAAATTTAATGCTTTCAAGCATCTTCCTGAAGCTGTGGCACTCAGCTCGTGGGTAATAAAGGAGGTGGTGGCGAGAGAGCGGGTGTATTGATAGGGGCGCGCACCTGTGCGCGTATGCTCATCCGTGAGCGCGCATGGGAGGGAGCGAAAACGGGTAGGGTTGGGGCTGGAGAGGCACTGGCGCGTTCGCTGCATCACAGGAGCTGCCTTCGTGCATCGCAACTGGCCACCGCCTTCCAGCCCTTGCTAGCGCCGTTGTAGGAACCACTTGTCTTCCCGTTGGATAAATGAAGAAATCCCCGCAATAAATAGCGCCCGCTCCGCCTCGATGGACCCCAGTCTCCCCATTGCTTTGCCATGTTAATATCGTTATTTTTTAACATTCAAATATGAATCATGTATCTGATATTTGTTTCAAGTCTTCTCGCAAGCATCCTTGTGTCCTGGCTGAGTCTAATCGCGGTAGCATCAACTGGTATGTATGAACCGAAAAAAAGATCTTCTAAATACTGTCTTCATATATATATATATATATATATATATATATATATTCCGTTATTTTTCGGGGGCATCGTTTAATGTCTTGGTCTTGTTTTTGATATTATTGCGCTTTTAGAGGATATTTTGTCTAAATTATTCATCATGCACAGCTTATTTAACAGCAGGTGGGATATGGCTGGATACGACCAATTCTGCATATTTCACTGTAGTGCTGTTCAATTATATACTGTCTTTGTTTTTTTTTATAAACCTGATTTCATTCGCTTAAGCGCAGATATTAGCAAGTGATGGAGATAACAGGTTTTGACAGATAGTACTGTAGCTAACGGTAAGTCGTCGAAACGGTTTTAAACAGTGAACGAATATATGTTCTAGAATCATGAATCATAGGGTATTAAATCAGACGTCTATAGCGTTTTTAGGGCAAATTGATCTCATGAGACATAATGTAAGACGCATCAGTTTTATTGGACATGATTCTGCTTGGTTTCTCGTTGACAAGTTAAAGAGAGTTTGCTGGCAATATCAATTGTCTGCAAATATAATCTTTTCACGTTATCCTAACTGGACTTTTCTTAACGGTACCATATTTATGTGCATACATGCTATGAATATGTTTTAGGTACGTGGTCCACATGAAATGCTTGCGTACTGCAATATATTTGCGATTTGCTGAAGGATGTGCCTGGAGACTCATGCTTTCTTATCTATTCCTCCTCATTCCTCATGGTCTATATATAATTTAACAGTCTTATTTTTCTTTTCCTTACTGGTGTGCGGGTTCTCTGCAACTGTTTTGTTTGCGATTCTCCCCGCAGTTACCAGCGCAGTAGAGAATGAATTTCTGAAGGCTGCAACGTCGCCTGGCGTAAGCAGTGACAACTCAACGCGACACAGGGAAGAGCGTGAGGTCACCTATCCTTCCAGGCTCATCTATTACCTGAACGAGGATTCAGAGAGCACTTACCATGACCTGGATACTAAGACTCGGAACCAGGATGGAGAGAATCAGGTGATGTTTCACCGGCAACATATGTCCTGAGATGATAAAGGCTGACCACCAGGGCTGGACTGGGATTAAAATCAGCCCTGGACTTTGCAGTCCCCCACGATAAATTTTGCCAAGCTGGGGGCCCCTATGATGAATTATACGGGGCTGGGTAGGTGTGCCTCTTGATAAATTTTGCCAGGCAACAAAAAAACCTGATATGCCAGACAGCCAGTCCAGACCTGTTGACCACACTTTGTCTGTATGACACAGGTTTCCAGTCTGTATGACACAGGTCTCCAGTCTGTATGACACAGGTCTCCAGTCTGTGTGACACAGGTCTCCAGTCTGTGTGACACAGGTTTCCAGTCTGTATGACACAAGTCTCCAGTCTGTGTGACACAGGTCTCCAATCCGTGTGACACAGGTCTCCAGTCTGTATTGCACAGGTCTCCAGTCGGTGTGACACAGGACTCCAGTCTGTATTGAACAAGTCTCCAGTCTGTACTGCACAGGTCTCCAGTCGGTGTGACACAGGACTCCAGTCACTGTGACACAGGTCTCCAGTCTGTATGACACAGGTCTCCAGTCTGTGTGACACAGGTCTCCAGCCAGTGTGACCCAGGATTCCAGTCTTCGTGACACAGGTCTCCAGTGTGTGTGACACAGGTCTCCAGTCAGTGTGACACAGGACTCCAGTCTGTATGACACAGGATTCCAGTCGGTGTGACACAGGTCTCCAGTCTGTGTGACACAGGTCTCCAGTCTGTATTGCACAGGACTCCAGTCTGTGTGACACAGGTCTCCAGTCTGTATTGCGCAGGTCTCCAGTCTGTGTGACACAGGACTCCAGTCTGTGTGACACAGGATTCCAGTCTGTGTGACACAGGTCTCCAGTCAGTATGACACAGGTCTCCAGTCTGTGTGACACAGGTCTCCAGTCAGTATGACACAGGATTCCAGTCTGTGTGACACAGGTCTCCAGTCAGTATGACACAAGTCTCCAGTCTGTATTGCACAGGTCTCCAGTCTGTATGACACAGGATTCCAGTCTGTGTGACACAGGTCTCCAGTCTGTGTGACACAGGTCTCCAGTCTGTGTGACACAGGATTCCAGTCTGTGTGACACAGGTCTCCAGTCAGTATGACACAGGTCTCCAGTCTGTATTGCACAGGTCTCCAGTCTGTGTGACACAGATCTCCAGTCTGTATGACACAGGTCTCCAGACTGTATTACAACTCATTGAAGTGGAATCCTCGTTCATTTACCCTGATGTATTCCTATCCCACATGTCCCATTTTACTTGGTTTGTGGGAATAAGGCTGGAGCTGCCTTGGTTAGTGTGCCATGGTGAGCTGTGAGGGTTGATAGATAAAGCCCTTGCCCTCACGGCAGTACTAATCACCTGCTTCAGTGTCAGACTCTCTCATTTCCTGTCAGACTCCAGGAAACACACCCTGGGACCACCGTTCCTCATAGACTGCACTGAAATACACCACACTTAAACTCATTAAAGGGGAAGAGGTCATTATATCTTCAGATATGATGCACCCTGCACTTCGATACCCCAGTGAGTGCTGCGTTAGAGTAACGTTCATCCAGCCGATGGGCCCCGGGTGATTTCCTGGAGATATTATTGATCTGATTTTGGTTGTAGGATGCCTGATAAATGTAGCTTATGCAGCAGATCAGTGTGAGCATTATACCCATGCTGACTGGCCTCTGTGCTCTGCTTTGTGGTCCTGTGCAGCATTGCACCATCATCTAAACTCCGCTATTGCATCTGCAGGTGGTGCACCTCGCTCAAGCCAGTTTTAAGTTAGAGGCCTTTGGCTCCAGATTCATACTGGATCTCACATTGAACAAGTAAGTACTGTTTAACGTATGACACCCTCCAAAAGTACTGGGAGATTAAGTTAAATGAGTCATGCTCAAGAAATCTGGGTTTATGACCAAAATATAAATGGCAGACAAATGTAAAGAATATCCCTTTTAATTATAGGTAATTCTACAAATACCTATTTATCATTATACAACAGTAGCACAATTTGTGTCCAAGCACACATTTAGAAAGAGCATAAATATCAGGACAAATGACTTCATGGGTGTTCCTGATTGTCCAAGCATATTATTTTTCACAATCGGTTTGGCACACGTTACAGACCTGTGCCTTGTTTTGAAACCGCGTTTGAAATCTTTGACTTGAGTCAAACATGAAACCCTAACAGTCTAGCAGAAAAAGTAGACAGCTGGGGACAGGCCAAGGACCTGTAATCAAAAGAGAAAACAAGAATATCAGTGTGTGACAGAAAAATGTGTCTCTGTGTGAAGAAAAATAACCAGAATTGGTGTTAGTGAAGTTCAAAATAATTCTGAATATGTGATACAAAACCGGATTCCAAGAAAAAACAGAGGTTTTCAAAGTAGTACTACAGGGATAGCTGCAGTAATTATATAACAGTGTTATACGAATGGAGGAGACCAAAACAAACATGCATCAGAGTGATGAAAAAGGCAACAGTCGTAAGTCACTAATTCATCAGTATGGCAGAGGGAGTACTGAGTACTGAGTACTGAGTACTGAGTACTGAGAAACGAGGACCTTATCCCTCGTGTCACACATTAGATTGTGTCTGTCAGTCGGCAAATGTGGCAGCCGTCAGGTTGGTGAGAAGCAGGACTTTGACCCAAAATGAACTGTGCATGTAACACATCAGACAGTAGCTCATGGGACAGGAAAAGCGGAACATTTTTAGTAGCATTTTAAGCCAGTTATCCAGTCTGAATCCTATGAAGACCCAAAGTCCCACAAGTAGTGATGCAAGAGGCCACACTTTAAGCTGGCGAGACATCGCACAAGAAGAAACAAAACGTCTGGTGATTTCACTGGGCCAGACTTGGTGCAGCTGTTGGACCATCAGATCTACAATGAATTTTTTGCTGTTTCTGCTTCTTTCAGTTAAGTTAATTGCCCCAATCTTTACGCTCACCAAAATCATGGTGGACCATCCCAATACGTCCAAACAGCTCAGTGTTCGTCGGTGTTTCCCTAAACTGCCTAAACACACAAACACATGTTTGTCCAGTGTTTAGCCTTTTGTAACATTTTCATCATGACTGTCCATGAGACAAGATGAAATTGGCTATGATGTCGACAGGCCATCTGTCTGTGGACCTTCCACGTTTCCACGTCCCAAAATAGCCTAGAAGCCCAACCTTGATCTGTGCAAAGGCACTCCGTTGTACCCTTTCTCACGCAATTCACTGGTTTGTCAATTCAAGTGTCACATTAATGATCTGCGCCACTCACTTAAGCAATAACGTCTTCATTGATATAGACTTAGAAGATGTGATTGTGACTGCCTTGTCTGCGTAGATGGTGGGAAGGAGGGCGATTATTATCCCAACCAGATGAGTAGCCAAGCTCCTACAGACCCATGGGGGTATGACTGCTGCGTTTCCCTGCGCTCGTGCTGATTCTGTTCAGATGTAGCCGGGACGTTACTGTTATCCCAGGTGCAGAACAATTTCTGACTGTCAGGGGGTTTGTTTTTGAGCAGACTGGTAGTGACCCTGTTTATTATTTAAGAAGTAGATGCCATTTTAAGATGTTTTTGCTATTCTGCTCCCTCCCAATGTGCGAAAGAGAAAAATGTCTTCAGGTGAAGCAGCAGCCGGCAGGGTGGTGGCCAGAGCGACGTCCCTCCCTGTCTCTCGCTCACTTTGTCTCTGTTTTTTCATTGTTATGTGTCTGCTTCCGTTGCTTCCTATGGCACTGATGGGACAGTTGTCAGGTAATAGAGGATACAGCATATATGGCTCCTTACAGGAAAACTGGTCTTTTGGTGCTAGATGCTTGTTGGTTTTTAACAATGGGTGTCTGAGGCTTCCTGAGAAAGTTTTTTCCCCTTGTTGTTTTTTGTAGTGATGGCACATAGCAGATAGATAGATTCCTTTTTTTTTCCTGGTTGTCTGGGGAAGGTGGTCGCCATTTTTTCATTAGAAAGGTTCTATATTAATGTATAGCAACTCATGTTAGTCCTTTTTCAGTTTGTTTGTCAGATTAGGAAGGTAAGGTTATGTTTCTCTTTTGCCCGTGAAAATGCCTGTTTTTAAAGTGGCGATACAGTACTCTCTAAACTCAAACAGCACATGGATTTGAGAAGGATGCAGTTCAGAATTGTTCACAATGTACTGAAGGTGTCCCTTGCAGGTTAGATCTGATGAGGACATGGTCAGAAGCTGTATTGGGGGACCAGACCTGGGCCGATGCAGGCTTGGGGGGGGGGGGGCTTTAAGGGGTTTACAGCAGTGGGGGCCAGGCAGGTTGTGCCTTGTGTCGCTGAACAGAATGTTGTCTGTGGCGCTGATCCACATGGTGTTCGAAGTCGCCTCACCTGAATGTGCCACTGAAATTCGGTCGCTGTGTTAATAGGAGCTCTTTATTCCAGTTTAGTCTGGCTGTAGACCCAGAAAGCTAATTTCAAGGGTCCACAGTGCAGCTTTCTGCATTGCGCCATGCCCCTGCGGACATGGATTTCATTGCAGCAGCCCCCCAAAGTCCCCCCCCCAATCACTCCCCCCTGAAACTCAGTGTGTACCCACAGTCTGCCCTGCTTTTCTATAGCAGATAGACACCATGTCTCCACTCTGCTTCCTACTGCAGTCTCTTCCTCACTTCCCTCGCTGCCCCCCACCCCAGGCACCCTCACACCCGGCCCTTCCCCCCCAAACACACTGCAGCGTTATTCTGCATTGCTGCTGCCTGCTTCCTTCTCTCTCTCTCACACACACCCCCACATACTGTACACGCACACTGCAGCGTCAAACTCAGTTTCTTCTTGCCACACCATTGGGTTAAAAATAGTCCCTCATTTCAAAGATTCGGCCCAGTTCCTTTCCCTGCTGCGCTCAGTGGGTCCTCAGTGCCCGGAGCTGCCACCATCGGCTACGTCAGGTCAGGACTGACATGTACTAACCACAGGATAAACGCCAAAAGGAACGTTATCGTCATATGATGGGTTTCCCTCAAGATAACTCCCAAAGTTTCAGGAGTCTCAGAAAGTGCTGGTTTAACCGATTTCCCCTTAGTTACTCTCTTAAACATGTCAATGATTGACAGCACATGGTCGTCAATCCCACAGTTAATTTCCTTCATTACTAGACTCATTTTCATTCTTGTTTTACACTTAAATTATCTTCTTAATTTACATGAATATGTGACACGGGGATTGGGTTGGGACAGATGCTTTATTATGGGCATGAGTATCCTCTTCCTGCGCCTTGGGGTCAAGGCAAGGGAGGGTTCAACCGAAAAGGAAACATCTGTCAAACTCGGGATCCTCTTTGCTGTGGGTGAAGCAAAATAGAACAAAACCAGTAGCACGTACAGGGATCGAGGGACAGGAAAGGAATGGTGCAGTAAGTAATTGTTAGTAGAAACCCAGACTCCTCGCCTTGACCATTCATGTTATTACAATATCAGGAGGTCAGTAGATCAGAGGCTGAGGTCTGTAAAGCCAACACTAGCTATGGGTACAATGGACAGCAGCCATTTCCCCCAGTTGTTTAAAATGTTGGTGCCACAACAATAGATTATTCGGATGTAGACAACAGGTTAGGTCATATTTTCCTTTATCATTTTAATTAATCGCGGAATTCCGTCCGGGTCTCACTGATGCTCAGCTATCTGTGCATATTTCCCTAACACTGACCTACAGCCTCTGTTTTTTAGTTGTGATCATTAGGTCTGGCCAGCAAGGTCCAGTCCAATCAACCAACAGGCATCACTCAGTTATCCTTCAGGCCCTTCCATGTTGGGATCTCACCATAACTTTTTGGTGAAACATGACCAATCCTCTGAGATCTCACAATAATTTTTTTGTCAAATGAGACCAATCTGCTGGGATCTCACCATCACTTTTTGGTCAAAGGTGACCAGTCCCCTGGGGTCTCACCATCACTTTTTGGTTAAACGTGACCAATCCCCTGGGATCTCACTATCACTTTTTGGTGAAACGTGACCAATCCCCTGGGATCTCACCATCACTTTTTTGTGAAACGTGACCAATCCTCTGAGATCTGACCATCACTTTTTGGTGAAACATGACCAATCACCATCACCATATCACCATCATTTTTTGCCTTTCGGACCACTTACTGACTCACTGAACTCAAATTACAGGGGATGTAAAACAGAACTACATGTGTCTTGTGAACTGGACCGTGGTTTTGACAATAGCCCAATCCTCTGCCACGCTAGCCTGCATGACTTACCCCTCCTTCTCAAAAACAGAGAAGAGAATTACGGGTGAGGCCAAGACAAAATGGCAGAATGAACTGATTTGCCTTTTGCGCCCTCCAGTGACCTGCTATCTTCAGATTACGTGGAGATCCACTATGAAGATGGTGGCAAGCCTGTGCTGTCAAAGGTAAGACCTTCAGCCTTGCAACTGTTTGCAGCAAAGGTGGCAGGAACTGAAAAGGCCTTGTTCTTCTTCTCCCTGATTCCTGAACAGGATGGAGTTGTGGAGCTGAGCTGGTGACCACATGTAAATGTTTTTATTGACTTATGTCACGAAGTAGCTGGCAGCCAGTATTAAAACAGTCAGTACCAGTACCTTGCCATGTTTAGTGTCTGATCCCAGTTCATTTCTAATTTTGTTCTGGGATAGTGCAAACCAAATGTATTATATTTGTGGCCTAATTAAATGAAATGGCCTAATTTCTGCAGTCTCACGAGGGCCCGACTCCAGGGCTGGTGTAAGTAATTGGTTATTTGGACAGGATATGTTTGAATACAAAGAATCATATTATTTTAGTTTATGACTGTTTGTTTCACTTGTGGTTTGCAATGCAAATGCCACTGTCAGGGTGACCATAGCTGTCCACCCTTCCGGATCTGGACTTCTGGCTCTGTCTTCATACTGCCCATCTCTCTCTCAATCCAATACAGCTGCTCTGGAAAACATCTGGAAACATCATTGTTCCAAAACCAGCATGTCGGCATGACTCACAAAGAGCCCACATTCCTGCTCTCACAGAGTTCACGCAAATGCTGTGTGTGGCTACGTGCGTAAAACTGGGCGCTCGATCTGAAGGGAGAGACGGGCAGGATTATAAATGCGAGTGCTTTAAGGGCCTGCAGAGAGCGGCTGTGATCTTTATGGTAATTTGTGTTAAATAATAATGAAGCCACACTTACGACACTACGGAAACTGCATTGGGTTTCGTCTCAGAATGGAGCGTTTCCATGACATTGCTGGTGCTCCCCGGGCTTTGATGAGAATCAGAGATGGGGCACTGATCTTGAGTCAGGAAAGGGGACGATGGTGGGGACGGCGCAGGGGGATACCAAGGCACTTATTCAGCAGGACTGTGTTTGTCCTGCCATTGCCTTCTGGGAAAGGGGGTGATGTGACAGGGAAGAGCCCCAGACCACAGCAGTGGCGCAGGGTGGGGGGAGCAAAGGGGGGTGCGACCAACCAATTTGGGTGTCCCATGCAATTAGTGGCCCAACCCTAATTGCAGCCAGGCTGTGTCATGTGACCAAAGAAGGATAAGAGATGTTGGTAGGCTTTAAGGAGAGCACACTTCAGACATTGTAAACAACATTTATCGATGGACACATCCTGAAACACTGCGTTAATTGATTGTACAGAAATATGTGTGATTCCACTGTCTCCCTGCAGGGCGGTGAGCACTGCTATTACCACGGACATGTCAGGGGGGTGAAGGACTCTCGCGTTGCCCTTTCCACCTGCAACGGGCTGCAGTGAGTCCCTTGCTCTCTTTGTGTGTTTATGGGTGTATGCTATTGAGAAGGTCTCAAAACTGAAGGTCATTTCATCACAATTAATGATTTTGTGATGTATGTGTAAGTGAGTGGTTGTGTGTGACGTGATAAACTTCCAGTCAACCATAACCTGAGAACATGAAGTTTAAAGGGGATTGTAGATTTGTGTCCTAGTAGTTGTCATTTATACCCAAATTAGGGAACAGGAACAGAATGAGACAGTTACTACAGTACAAAAGTAAAGACACCATTTTCTCGGGGGTGGGGAGTGGGATAATGCTGCAGCTGACAGCACTGTGATGCTGTTTGGCAAGAAAGAAAACTGAATGCACTTATACAAATCGCAGGGAATAAGGGGCAGGTGGAAGGAATCAGCAGAAATCAATAGAGAAATCAGTAGAGATCATCAGACACTCCTTACCAGACACTCTGTTCCAGACACTCCCTACCAGACACTCCTTACCAGACACTCTGTACCAGACACTCTGTACCAGACACTCCCTACCAGACACTCCTTACCAGACACTCTGTACCAGGCACTCCCTATCAGACACACCTTACCAGATACTCTGTACCAGACACTCCCTATCAGACACTCCTTACCAGACACTCCCTACCAGACACTCTGTACCAGACACTCCCTTCCAGATACTCTGTACCAGACACTGCTTACCAGACACTCTGTACCAAACACTCCCAACCAGACACTCTGTACCAGCACAGTTGTAATTTTGTGTTTTTGGATGTGTGTCATGGTGCTGTGGAAAGCTTTATTTACATTCATGTGATTTTCAAAGCCCTAAATTTCCAATGACATCCACCCTGGATGATGATGTCATCTCCCGATATCACTTTTGTGCTGTGCTCAACAGGGACACATCTGTTCTTTGTACCATCAAATTCATGCTAAAGATTCACACTCAATTTAAAGATCTTTTACTCTTCTTTTCTCTTATCTTTAATGACATCCCCTTCATTGCTTGACAGTGGAATGTTTGATGATGGAAACTATGTCTACAATATAGAACCCTTACAACAGACCCATCTCATAGTAAGTGCCATTTAATCATAGATTTATGTGTCTTGGAAAATCTCTGTGGCATAAAGAACATTCTGGATTATTTAACAGCAGCATTATTTAAATTAAACTATATGAACCATATTCTGGATTCCATGTTGTTTCTTTTACTAAATTACATGAAATGTAAATAGGTCAATACCTTAAGCATCATTGTGTAGAAGAAGTGCTTTAAGACTCTCTGCTTTTTATTGGTTTAGGAAGCTAACATACACAGGGCTGACGGCTGACTTATGACTCTGCTAGTTAGCTGTGAAAATCTTTGCCTTTTTCAACCTGAATTGACTGCTGACCTTTCACCCTCAGGATATGGCTGCCCGGCCCCACAACCTCTGCCGCACGCACACGCTGCAGTGGGCCCGCGACCCAGACAGCCTCAGTAAGTGCTGGGTCCACTCCAATGTGACCCGTCATGCCCTTATGCTGGTAATGCACTCTCCATGCGCTTAAAGACGTTCCTCTCCGCTCTCTCTCCACTGCTCTCCTCGCTCACAGAGATGTCCTGGCTGAGACGCAGGAAGAAACGTGCTGTGGGTATCTACCCAGTCTTTCCCTCCCATCTACCATGCCGGTTCACATGCTCCACCAATCCCCTATTACCTGTATTACTGTGCCCTGAAACTTACCCTCATCTTAGAAACATAAATATCACCACACATTTTGGACATATATACTACCAACATCATCTTAAACTATGATCCAGTACTGACCTGCATTCATCCAAGGACTGGCCCACAACTACCAGACCCGGACTCTCTTTCCAGCCCCCACTGTGCGCTTTGTGCTGCTGTAAGCCACCCCCATCCCATTTACATTCGTGCCCTTCTTTTCCTGAATCAGCAGTAACAGCACTGCTGTTAACCGTGTCCTTCTACCACAGTTTTATATGCTTGGCTGGTTTCCTCTCTGTGCCCTTTGCTCCAGATTGGTGATGTTTGTATGTTTTTCTGAATTGTTTCCTACAGATAGTGTCCTCGGTTACACTTCCTAAAATAAAATCATTCTATTTCCATGCATGCAAACACATTTCAGCCCCCGTATTTGTTTAATTCACAAAAGCTCAATTAGTCTTTAACAAACACACAGCCCCTACAGGGTCACACTGTCTGTCACTCTCCCTCTCTCTTGCTCAAAACTGTTGCCCCCATCGTTATATAGGCAACCTGAACCTGCCTGTCTCCTCACAGATGCCCCGCAGTGTCTTTGAGGAGATGAAGTATCTGGAGCTCATGATAGTCGCCGATCACAACATGGTGGGTGCCCCCTAGTGGTGATTCTACAAGCCTGCACTTTCATCATCTTTCAGATCATGCAGACTCCCTAAGACAGAGTTCCCAAATGTAGTTTACAGCCTGCTCAAATGCATCCTAATCAGCTGATTACCAAGTTTAGTAGATGTGTTTGAGAAGAAATGTGCAAACTGTGCTGGATTCTGGCCCTCTAGGATTGGAACTGGGGAACCCTGCCATAAGACTTATTGTAGTGGTCTGCCTTATGCAGCGGATTAAAAGCTAAATAAGAAATTAGGATGCATTTTCGTGAAGTGTCTGTATTTTTACATAAAGTGCTGCGCTTGTAAACATCCCATTTTCTCACATTATGTCATCTCCCTAAGTCATTTTTGCAGAATATTACCGAAATGAAGTAAAAACATTAGATGTTTGCTCACTTGACCTCTTTTTTCACCCTTATTGCCCCCGCTGCCACTTTGTCCCTAAACTTCGATGTGTAAATGGGGCAATGTTTGCCTAATTTAGCTTGTTTTGTGGATTAAGAACGATAATAGATTTTGATCAAAGGACCCTGACTGATGTCAGCATATTTTGAGAGGTGAGTACAAATAAACAGGAAGGCACATTTCCCCTGGCAGCCTTTATGAAACAATATACAATATTCATATGTTTTTTCGAGCAGAAAATGATTTAAAATGGATAGGAAACGTTACATTTGATTAGAAAATGTTGTTAGTGTTCAGGGAAGATTTATTCAGTAAGAGTTTGCACAGTTTCAGCTATTTGTGGCTTGAATTTTACTTAACACGACAAACCTACATAACCATTTAACACCCTAACTGGTGCAGGTGTTATGCTTTTCTGCCTGAGCATGCATGTGGACCTTCTCTTCATGCAAAAAATCACAAACTAATTTATGCTTTGACCCATGTTTAAGTTAAAGCCTTTCTGAAACAGTGTGAGTTTTAGACTTATGCATTTTTATTTTCAGCTTTTCTTTTTAGTCTTTTTTTTGCTTTGAAAGAGACCGGTTGCTTTTGTTTTTTTAAGGAACCATACCCCTTTGTTGCTCAAATAAAGCAATTTGGTATACAAGCCTTTGCCCTTTTCTTTAGTGGTTTTCAGAAGTTGTTTCTAGTGACCCTGCATTCGTAAATTTGTGATCCATTTAGAGATTTGTAAACATCTTTACAAATATGGAAATATTGAATCAATATTGAATCGAATCGAATTGAATCATTAGCTTGTGAATCAGAATCTAATCGAATCGGGGCCTCTATGCCAATACCCAGCCTAAAATAAAGTCTGTTTTCTCAAAATAACCACATAATTTGGCAGTGCGGCAGCATGAGCTATGCTTTTTAAACGGACTTGCAGGTTATATACAGTTTACATTGAAATCTATGGATTGGTCTGTGTGCCTGCCACAGTGTAGATGGATCAGTGTGCAGCACAGAGCCTTTGGATCAGTGGAATAACCTCCAAGGATTCAGACAGTGTGTGTAGATTTAAATGTGGCTTTGAAGGTTTTTCGCTGATTTTATTATAGGTGTCGTGTGCAGTGAAATGACAGCATTTCCCAAGACCTGCACATCACGGTTAAACACCACACTTAATTTCAGCTTTAAATACATGGATGCACACATTAAGTCACAGAGTACTCAGCTGGTTGGTTGAAACAAAATCTTGGTCTGGATTTGTACTCTCTGAACTTGAACTCTCCACCTCTGGTTACAGTACATGTAGAAGTAGAAGCACGCATGGCATGACGGCCCCATGACACCACAGTATGTTTGTCCTTGTAATTGTTTAGAGAAAATTATCTTGATATTTCAGGAAAATGAGATTTGTTATCACGTTATTTCAAGAAAACAAGCTTTATTATCTCGAGAGAGTGAGGTGGGTGATCTTGTTATCACTTGATAATTTACAGTAATAATTGCAAATATCTCCATCTCCAGCTTCTGTCACCCAACAGTTTGGAACTTCTCTTTCCTGTCGCCCCTGTCCCACTCCCATCCTGTCAAATGAAGGCAATTTGCCCTCTGAGTCATGGCACCAGCATAATTCTGTACTCACAGCTATAGCCACAGTGCAGACGTTATCTTTATTTTGTGAGTTTTGCAGTATCATTGAAATACAAGAGGAAGGGACGTAGACCCTGGAAATATCCGGCCTGTTTCTGAGGTCTTTGGGGAAAAAGATGCAGGATTGTGAGCTGCCACTTTCACCCTCATGTCTTCTTCTCTCCCCCTGTCCTATAGTATAAGAGACACAAGACCAAGCAACACACCAAGAACTTTGCCAAATCCGTGGTCAATCTGGTGGATGGTGTGAGTAGCCTGGGGAAAATGGCGGACTGCATGGGGAAAGATGTCAGTGCCTGCAAAAACGTGTGCTAGGGTTAGGGTTAGGGTTAGGATCCCGTCCTGTCTGCACCTCCAAAAGGAGATGGTTAGGGTTAGGATCCCGTCCTGTCTGCACCTCCAAAAGGAGATGGTTAGGGTTAGGATCCCGTCCTGTCTGCACCTCCAAAAGGAGATGGTTAGGGTTAAGATCCTGTCCTGTCTGCCTCTCCACAAGGAGGTGGTTAGGGTTAGGGTTATGGTTAGCCTAGGGTTAGTGTTGGACCTTCACTTAGGGTTAGGGTTAGCCTATGGTTATGGTTGGACCTCCACTTAGGGTTAGGATCCCATCTTGTCTGCACCTCCACAAGAAGGTGGTTAGGGTTAGGATCCCATCCTGTCTGTACCTCCACAAGGAGGTGGTTAGGGTTAGGATTCTGTCCTGTCTGCACCTCCACAAGGAGGTGGTTATGGTTAGGATCCCTCTCTGTAAGGAGAATGCCAGTGAGAGAGAACATTTCTGCCTCTAACTCGACCAGGAGGTGGTGACCCCTACGTGTTGTCCACATCTGGGTGAGGCCCCGAACTTGCCCTTAGGCATCCTCTGATGTTCCCTGCAGCCACATGCTTCCTGTTCTGTGCAGTAATGGTGTATGTCTAACCACGGCTCCTTGTCTTCCCCTGCCCCTCTATCCCCTGTGCTGTGTGCTTCTGTATGCATTGACTTAAACCTAGCGCCCTTTTACCATGTCCCTCCATGTTCTGCATCCACCTCTTTGCTCTGCTGGCCAATGGCCCTGTCCTTCTACTTCCAATCTCAGGTTTTCAAGGATCAACTGCACACACGAGTGGTTCTGGTCGGCATGGAGATCTGGACTGAACGGGACCAGATTCCCATAAGCGTGCGGCCCTTAGAGATGCTGCGGGACTTCGCCAAGTACCGGCAGCAGAGCATCAAGCAGTATGCAGATGTGGTGCAGCTCTTCTCGTAGGTTCCTGCCTCCCTCCTACCACCAATGTGATTCGCTTTTTCATCCTGTCATTCAACATTTCAAAGATTCATTATGAAGATTTTGGGTCAGAGTTGTGGGTTCAAGTCTGATTTGTATGATGTGCATTGTTCTACATAGAAGGCTTCAGAAAAACAAAATAAATGATACTGAATGGTTCTACTTGCTAAGTAGGCTGATATTTTTCTCTGTTGCCAACAGCAATGTGACATTTCACTACCGCAGAAGCAGCGCCGCCTACTTTGCGGGTGTATGTTCATCGAGCCGGGGAGTCGGTGTCAATGAGGTGAGTCTCCCCATCTCCACAGGTCATTGTACCCATCTGAGTCGACACAAGCATACGACATCTGCTGTTCTCCCTCCACAGTACGGCAATACATGGACAATGGCTGCCTCGCTTTTGCAAAGCCTGGCCCAGAACCTGGGCATCCAGTGGGACCCAGCCATCAAGAGAAGTATGTGCGTGCCTCATCCATCTCCACACAGCCGCACATGTCCATCCCGCACAGCTGCACATGCACTTTGTACAAACACACAAACTGTAGAGCTCCCAAGTCACTAAGGGCACTTGTACAATACTACCCGATTTTAACAATATCTGTCTACAGTCAGTCCTGTTACACCGTGACTAATCCATTCCTGAAAAACCTCGAGTTCATTAAAATCACGTACTAAAATATTCATATCCAGTAGGAAATTTAGGGCTAGGGGAATGCTACTTCAAAACGTAGCCAAAATGCCAAACAAAATTAAATAAATTATAAAAACTAATACCAGTGGCTGATAATTATATTAATTTTAATTAAGACATAATAATAATAATAATACATTGATAAAATATATCATGAGCATCTCCAATGGGTCTTATGAGTCTCAGGAGAATTGCCTATTAACTGCATCAATCGAACATGCCGGGAGTAGTGATGGCTGAAATGACTCCATGAACCATTTGCTGTATTTTCTGACCCCACTAGATGGTGCTCTTCACTTACTTTGGGGGGTGGGGCTTTTTTGGACAGAGAGCCACATCTAGTGGGGTCAGAAAATACAGGAAATGGTTCATGAAGCATCCTTTTGCCCATCATCAGTCGGTAGTAGTGCGCCAGGGCGTGCACACGGCATAAACACAACCGGATTACAGTGTGCAGAGGGGCACTGAAGGCAACATGGCTACAGACAGTCTACGAAAAGCAAAAGTAAGTGCATTAAAAAATGTTGCTATTTTTTGTGTGTAAGTAGTGTGTCTCACTAAGACCATACTGCGTCGTACTTCGCATAGTGCTTTTCCCTCCAACTAAAAATGGCGCAAATACAAATGCGATTCCATTCATTCACTTCAGACCAAATTTGCATTGTGTGGTAGCAGGACTGACATATTTATTTATGTATTTTATTTTATCAGTGAAATTAGTGTATCTTCAACCACAGTACTGTAGTTATTTTCATATTCACTCATTTATTTCCATCTCTATATGGTATGCGTATTTATTTTTGCATAGAGATTGTTGAATGTGGTGCTGTGTATTGTTTATCTTTGTTTACATTTGTGCACTGTGCAGTCTGTAATAATAAGAAATTTTCTCCATGATGGTAAAAGTATTCTGGATTCTGGTTTTGAAATACACACAGACTCATTCATCATTTCCGGAGTTCAGTTATATACATTATTGTTTGTTTGTTTATGGTTCATTTGGAATAAAAATGGACCTTTTCAGTTGCTGCAGATTTTCCTTTAATGACTTGCACATCCCTCAATGGACCTGCTAGCTAAAAGTGTTGGTCACATACTAAACTGAGTGGTCCATTGGCATGCCTGGGAGTATGCTTCTCAGTCTTCCTCTCTCCCCGGCAGAGGATTGTGGCTGTGTGGACTCCTGGGTGGGCTGCATCATGGAGGACACGGGGTAATGCTTTGCTTCTGCACACGTCCCTGGGCCGATGAACCTGTTGTACAGAAGCGGCGAGCCTTTGTGGTCACATGCTCCTTTCCACATATGCCATTCTTCCAGAGGCACTTGATGCTTCCATTCAAAATTGGGCACTTGGTCATTTACATGCACATATTTTGTTTTGCTATAATTGACCAGACTTTTTTACATAGTTAAGGAAACACAAACCAAACCTCTCAAAATTCAGAACCAGATGGCAACCGTTATTATAAAAACACAAGCTGTTTGTCCAGTGGAGATCCCCACAGTGTCTTGTCCTGGTGAGCCCATAATTGCCTTGTTCCCCAGTAAGCAGGCTGACCCCATTCTGTGTAGCACCTTCTCCTGCTGCTCTGATGCTCTTTCTCCTCTTTCCTCACTAAGCATCCAGCACCCGCGTAGGTTCTCCAAGTGCAGCATTTCCGATTACAAGGAGTTCCTGCTGAAGGGGCGCGGCTCTTGCCTTTTCAACCGACCCAACAAGGTGAGCCTGGCCACCACGCCATAGCTCCATACCGACGCCCGCCCGCCACACCCTTCACTCCGTGCTGCCGCCCGACCGCCACACCCAGTATTTCCCCTACCATTATATTAGGGGGGCGCTCTGCCCCCTAATGTCACCTCTCGCCCCCCCCTTGAAGGTCAAGTTAATTTTATTTTCTATATAGTGCCACATCACAACAGAAGTCATTTAAGGTTACCTTTCCTATAGAATATGTCCATACATTGTCCTTTTATTAAACACACTAAATAGCTTTATGTTATTATTTTTATTTACATAACAGCTTGTCTACGCTTTCCCCTACAGCTTTTTGAGGCTACGGAGTGCGGCAATGGCTACGTGGAGGTGGGGGAGGAATGCGACTGTGGCCTGCGGGTGGTGAGTTCCTGCATGTGTGGTGATCTGTTTCTGCGGGCGCCTGCCTCACTTGATGACGATGCATCTTCACATATGTCTCCTGTGCCATGTGCATGCGTGTCGCAGGACTGCTACAGGCAGTGCTGTAAGAAGTGCTCCCTCGCCAACGGCGCCCACTGCAGCGACGGGCGATGCTGCAACAATACCTGCCTGGTAAGCATACACTCTCCATGTAAGTGTGGGGGGGCAGAAACATGCCCATGTAAATTCTGAAGAAGAATCATGTAATAACCAGGTGCACTTTTTCTTGCCCCTGACCCACCCCATGCAGTTCTTCCCACGAGGAAACACTTGCCGCTACGAGGTTAATGACTGTGACATCTCCGAAACATGTACTGGGGACTCTGGCCAGGTGGGTTGATCCAGATGGGGTGCCTTCGGCCCATGTCATACTGTCAGATGAAATAGTGTCACCGTGGGGGTGACATGACAGCTGATGGCAGTTTCTCATCGTCCTCTTCACCTCAGTGCCCCCCCAACCTTCACAAGCAGGATGGCTATGCCTGCCACCTCAACCAGGTGAGATGGAGGACAAGAGTGGGGGGAGCGGGGTGATGTTGTACAAGGGATAATAGAACATGAGCCTGTGGCTGTTTCAGGGACGTTGCTATGGTGGTGAATGCAAGAACCGCGAGAGCCAGTGCAGATACGTATGGGGCCCAAGTGAGTAGAGAAAGCAGCCCTGCCTAGCCCAGTGTTTTCCAACCTGGTCCTCAGGGACCCACATACAGGGAGCTGGGAGGGAGCACAATCATGGATTGTATGCAGGTCTCCCAGGAACGGATTGGGTAACACTGGCCTAAAGGATGGAGGAGCCGGCCGGACCAGGGTCTAGAGGCCAAAGTCTTTGGATCAGGGTCTTTAGAATGTCCTCCAGTTGCTTCCTGTCTTGGTGATTCTATGTCTAAATCATTTAACCGCTGCATCACATCCCCGGGCCAGATGCTGGGGCATCGGAGAAGTTCTGCTACGAGAAGCTCAACACTGAGGGTACCGAGAAGGGCAACTGTGGGAAGGATAGAGAGAAGTGGATCCCGTGCAGCAAACAGTGAGTCTGATGCGAGTGTACAGCCATCAGGTTCCAGCAGCACAGGTTTCCATAGGACACAGCATGTTCTTATGGCACAGTGTAGATGCAGGACAGCTTCAGCACAGCACAGCACACATCGGCTTCCTTATTATCCTTATTATCTAGCAGTTAGCTCCAGCTCTAGGTCATTCGAGTGTGCAGGAGGTATGGTAGTGCACTCCAGACATGGCAGCCCGGTCCAGCTCTAGTCTACTCAAGGAGAGAGGCTGAGATGATTGTCTCTCTCATTTTCCTCCCATGCAGCGATGTGTTTTGTGGATACCTCCTCTGCACCAACATTGGCCGGACCCCTCGCATTGGCCAGATGAAGGGCGACATCACACCCACCTCCTTCAACCACCAGGCCAGGCTGATTGACTGCAGGTCAGGAGGCGCGAGCACTCGCAGCTGCAGTGCACCGTGGAGCTGACCCTGGGCCTGGGCTTCATGTCCCTCTCCCCTGGCAGTGGTGGGCACGTCCTTCTGGATGACGAGACAGACCTGGGATATGTAGAGGATGGCACACCGTGTGGGCCCTCTATGATGTGCCTTGACCGCAAGTGTCTGCCCATCCAGTCCCTCAACATGACTGCCTGCCCCAGTGGCCCCAACGGTCAGGTGTGCTCCGCCCACGGGGTAAGTATGACTGCTCCACCAATCAGGTTACCTGAATTCTTCCCCACCCACAGGGTGAGTATCAACATCCAAAACCAGGATGGTCCCAGTGCATTTTATGCAACAATCAGTTACCTTGTTGTATATCTGCACCTGACTCCTCCCTTTTAACCCTCCACCCTCTGCACAAGCAGGTGTGCAGTAATGAGGCGGCATGCTCCTGTGATGTCACCTGGGCCGGGACGGACTGCAGCATGTCAGATCCCCCGAAGGAGCCCCCACCTAAGGAGGACGAAGGACCCAAGGGTTTGTCACCTTTGTTCACACCTGGACCAGAGTGCCCTGACTCTGGGACTTCATCTGGAGCCACTGAGACACTGTCATTAGTTCATTTGGTTAAGTGACTTAAAGGCGGGGAATAGATTTTGGACACAGAGTGTCTCTGGACTGACCTGCCTTCCTTTCTGTATGCTGAGGTTTGCTACTCCCTGGTCCTGGAGCTCTGCAGGGTCCCCGACTCTCCCTCAAAGCCAGGTCATGTATATTTAACCTGCATTGATAGGTGAACATGATTGGGCTCTTCAGAACGCATTAAATAAAACAATACAGAGAGACATTCATAACAATAATAAATCCAGAATCAGATTACAGTGTTTAGTTATTTACCATTCCGATGCTTAACACCTAATTTTTTATGATATAACAAATTTAAGGGAAATGAGAACTGAAAAGTAAATTTCCATAACTCATTCAGTCCATTTGTTGTTGCTCTTGAGATGAGACCACTGCTGACCCAAAGTCAGGCTTCCTCATTGTATGTTACAGTGTTGGAAACCAAACCTTACTCAGTCCTCGTGTAATCCAACAAAGAACAAAACTCTTTTTCACAGAAATGTTCTCGAAAACGTATCTCGAACTATGGACTGAGTCTTGGAAATTGGCTTTTGAGCTTCATAAGAAGGAAACATCTGGAACAGTTTTTGTAGTACATAACTGAAATAATGAACATGTCCATCATTATAAAAAGAATAATAGGTCATATCTTCACCATTACAGATATTCCTTTATTAAAAATTAAAACAAAAGGAAAAACAAGAAAGAATTCAATGTAATGTTGTGACTTTTCCAATGAAGTAGAGGGTGCCAACCAGTGGTGGGCAGGGTTCCACTAATCCGTTAACCGCTACTTAGTGAAGCTAACTTTTTCATTAGTGGATTAGCATTTCTGCTAACTTTCAAAAAAGTTAGCAGACCGGTTCGTTTCCACTAAATTTAGTTCTGCTAACTGTAAATCCGCTAACATTTTTTCACAGGTAAAGTGAATAAATTTTAATGGTCAAAAACATTTGTAAATACTAAAATCATGCATATTTGTTCTTGTCTGTTGTGAGCGTGTCTGCAACAGTCTGTCTGGTACACACATAAACACAAGACGTGATTGGCCGATATCTTGTTGGATTTAAGGTAGTTTGGACTAAATGTAAGTCAATGAAGATAAAGTCCATTTAAACTGAGGTACCCTGAACTAAGTGGAGAACAGGGGCCTGTATCACGAAGCTGGATTTCTTGCTCAGCTGGGTAATATGTCAGAATTAAGGGTAACGCTTTACATTAAGTGCGCCTTCATAATGCATTCATCATTAAATAATGAGAAGAAATACTGCTTCATGACACAGGCCCTCAGTTTTCTGGGCTCTGATTAACAGAGCTATAGACCAATAAAGAGCTGAGACCCTCATTCCTAGTTCCGAGTAAACAGTGCCATGTTTGTAGCTTCACTGAGGTCAGAATGTCAGCATGAGCCAGCTACAAAATAGGACTCTGACAAAAATGCTTATATCATGCAAATGGAATATCATAGAATGAAAATTTCAATGCAGATGTATTCCAGAGACTCCACAGAATCCAGTGCTACCCAATTGGGTAAGTCCTACATATACCCTGGAAATCTCTCTACCCTGAAAGCTGGGATTTTAGTGTTAAACCGTTTAAAATTTGAGCTCTCTATGTTTGTTTTTAAGGGTTTCAGAGCAAAAAACCAAACCAAAACCGAATTCATACAATATAAGCTAGCAGTTATCATTAGCTTCTGCTGATTTTTTTAGTGGTTCATCGGTTTAGCATTATCGAAACTTTGGCGTTAACGGATTAGCGGTTATCGAAGCTAACTTTTCGGCTAGCTGTGCCCACCACTGGTGTCAGGAAAAGCCACTCAGAATTTGCTCCCAGGTCCAGGGATTAGCTAACCCTGACCAAAGTCGATGGTCACCCTGGAGCTACCGTGAGCTCATGCAGCATGAATGCCATGTAAGGAGAGACGCTCACATTTAGCAAACCCAGTATAACAGTATGTGGTATCCTAAGTCGACGTTTTATTCCACAGTGTCACCCATACTTATGACTGGTTTTTACTCCACATGCTTGTAGGATTCTTTTGAGTGGGGGTCCGTCACCTGGGAATGTGTACTCCTGAGAAAGGCTTTGCTGGGTGGGAGGGTAGAACATGTCATTGATAGTCACTAAAGGAAGAGAAAGTCCGACTCCATGCGCAGTTTGCCTCCAGTCAGCTGGTGATGATGCTCTGTTTTGAATGACCCCTTTTCCCTCTGTGCAGTGAGCATGGCCACTAACAGGCTGATAGGGGCAGTAGCAGGGACCATTCTGGCCCTGGGGGTGATTTTTGGAGGCACAGGGTGGGGAATAGAGTAAGCATCTTTCTCCCTTTCACAGTTCTCCCTTCCATAGTGGTTGCCTCCATGTGGGGTTGGGTTTGGGTGGGTGCGGGGTGGGGTGGGGGGTGACATCACTCAGCTTGAGCCCTGTGTGTGTGTCCCGGTGACTTTGTCTCGTGGGGTGATTGTGCCGACGTCATGTGATTGAACGTGTCAGTGCTGTGTGATGGATTGATGGATTGATTTACCTCCCCCATTGTTGTTCTTACTACGACTTCTATCTGTTGTTATGACCATTGTGGTTGTTATTATTAGCACCATGCCATGCAGTGTTTAACCCTCTCCTTTCTGGGCCATGTGGGGCATGTACACGAAACGCAGGGAAAGCAGGTTAACCTGAGGTGACCCTTCGCTGCGCTGGGCATCGTGGCCTTGAACTGGTTGCCTCTCGCTGGTTGGGTGTTACCGCCCTGGGCCGTTTGCCCAAACACCGTAGAACATGTAAAACATCAGCACTGGACTGGCTGACTTTTTCTTGGTTGAGCGTGAAGACCTTGGACTGGTTGTCCCTTGCATAGGGCATCAGTATTGAACTAGTTGACCCTCACCATGTAGAACATCAGCGGTTGACTGGTACTCCCTCCCTTCATTGAGTTGGGCACCAGTACTCTGGACAGATCGACCTTGACTGTGTAGGAAATCATTGCCTTGGACTGACTGCCCCTTCTTTGTAAGACACCAGTCAGCCATGTAGGTTCCATGTGGATATGGGGGGGGGGGAATATCTTTGGATCCACCCCCTCATATGCATGTAATTTGTCAGGGACATGCCATAATCCCCCCATCCGCGCTAAATCGACACCTATGACCTAACAGCAGGACCAGTTCATTGTGTAGGACATTAATATTCATCATAAAATGCAACTGCAATAGGGCCACAGTTATAATTTACATCACAAAGGCTTTAGACTAGGAGCAATAAACCAGTCTCTGAATTCAGTCTCTTCATTATTATTTCATGTATCCATCACTTGTTTTCCACACTGAGTATTTGTGTACCATCTTTCATTTGACAAGAATGTCCATGTCTCCTATGAACATCAGGGTCTCATGTGTTTCTCCCCACAACCCTTCACAGGTCCTAGCGCCACCAATCTTATTATAGGCTCCATTGCGGGGGCCATCCTCGTGGCGGCCATTGTGCTGGGGGGGACAGGATGGGGCTTTAAGTAAGCAACACGATGCATGTCTTCTCTTCCATGAGTCTGGCATCTCTTCTGCTTACAGACACCAGGGTCTGAGCTTCTGCTACAGAAATCCAAGGTTCGAGCAATAAGCAGATCAGAGACTTGTTACCTCACAGGACAGATGAGGGAAGGCCTGTTTTTACATGTGGGCATCCTAGGCAAAAATTAATATTGTTTCTGAAACACAACCCTACTTACACACCAAGTCAACAGCACAGGAACCATGAGCTGGGTAGACCGTGGAAATGAAGGAGACATGCAGAAGGAGCTAAGGAGCTTCAGCGTGAAAAGAGTAAAGCCTATAAGTCTGTAGCAGAACCCCAAACCAACGGGCCCAGCCCAGCTCAAAGCTTGACGCGCATGTGCCTGAAAAACAGTTGACCCATCTGGATGGGAGACATGAACACCTGCAAGAAGAATGGAGTTACTCCGAATTCACATGCTACACACTGTTTGCCAACAAACGACATGCAGGTTGTCATGCTTAGCCACCTTCGTGATGCTTGTATGGGCTGGGGTCACTGGTTCTTTTGTCAGTTTTGGGACCCTCGCCCACTAAGCTCATGTGGGCACCTATAGCCCTGTTACGGCACACGCATCAGTGCCCAGGGCCTACTGTTAGGGTGATCTGCTGGATGTTAGGGGAAGGATGGCCTGACGGGGCTCAGTGAAAGATGCATTAGCCAAGAGTAGGTGTGGTACAGGAAGTGGAAATGGGACAAGTCTTTTAATAAAATATCTTAGGCACACCTGCCTTGATTCTAAAGGAGGTTTTGAAGAGACTCGTCCAGAGAAAAGAAAGAGCATTAGATATGAGTAAAGTGCAGGAGACACTGGAGAAACTGGAAGAATTGCGGTCGGATAAGAGGCAGGGTGACGTCAAACATATGGATGGTCTTCTGCCTGAGCAGTGGCAGCTCCTGTCTACTCTCTGTCGCTTTGTGTGCTCAGAGAGAAGCAGTCATTCCACCCTCAGCGTCCTCGCCCATCTGTGGGAGGGAGATACGTGCACATCGTCTGTCCCCATCCGTCTTAGAGCACGCGCTCTTGCACACATGGCCTGGACACCCCTGTGTTAGCACCAACCATGGCTTATAGCGTAGAAGGATTGGCTAGGATGGAGAGCTTATCAAGACTGGTAGCTCTGAGGGATTTCAGCACCCACCTAGAGCATGCGGGTCGAAATGGCATCTTGGTGGG